TACCATTGTATCGCTCAAACCCAAAGAGCCAATAACCATACACTGGTCCAAAATCACGAATGCATTCATGAAGATGGAGGTGTAGTTGCATATTGCAGGTGAGAATAGTGGCAGTATAGTCTACGTTACATGCATTGCAAAACTTTTCTAACAGGCTGTGGGAAGTGGTGATCTCATCAAAAGTAATGCTGGGCTTTACGTAGTATCGGCATGCATCAACGAAATACATCCAGTTCTTGAATTGTAATGGAGGGAGAATACCATGCAACAAGACAGGAGAATAAACCAGAACCCATGATTTCCACTCGTCCGCTTTCATGTAGCTGAAGCCCTTTCCAATTTTGGTTGTCAGTGTGGTGTAATCTCTGGGTAGTACCATTGTCTCTGCAATTTTCTCCATCGAAGCAAACTCTTCAGGTCCAATTGTCTTCTCATCAATCCACCGATCCATTAATCTCTTAGACGTCCCCAGGAAAAGATTATGCATGGGATCAATGATCGTTCCACGTACTAGATCAAAGTATCCAAGGCGTTGCAACTGCGACCATCGAACACCATTTTTGACCTCCAGCTGATGCCTTTCTGAGAGTGTACTTGCATCCTTCCACTCCTCAGCATGCAACCTGCTCTCTGCACCACTGCGGATATTCCAATGAGAATAATTGAATCCATGGAAATCAATCTGATTGCTGCTCCCTAACCAAGTAAACTGCCGGCTGCACCTGTAACAAGCACATGTGCTGTTATGCGCTGTGAATCCACTTGTCTTTCTGGCGGCTGGGATATCACATGCAACCATCAGTAGTGCAGCACGAACACTGACACCATTTGGGAATTCGTGTGTAGGAATCCGCATGCTAACGTACAGCTGCTTCAAATCATCCACCAAGGGCTCCAAGTAACTATTGATCTCGTCGGTTTTTGGCTCCTTTGGACCAGGCATGAGACCTACAAGGATAATATTCTCTGGCTTGAATCTTTTATCACGGGGCAAGTTGTTGATGGCCAGATAGATAGCACCAGAGGAGTGAGTGACACCATCAAAGGGCTGGAACCAGTCGATGTTAAGTGTTAACATTAGTGAGCGTGGGTCCAACACAAATGATACACCATCCTTGTCCTTCAACTCCTTCCACATCGCACCATCATAGATATCGCACAGAGTATCTACCATCTTCAACTCCTTATTCCATTGACGAATCTTGGCTTCGAAACTAGGGCGACGGAAGAAAACGCTCAATGTATTTTTAATGGATTGGTAGACATATTCACGCTTTGCAACCAAGGCACCGGAAGATATGGATTTCGTCAAATTACAGTTGCATGCAGACCTGGCACCAAGTTTTGAGGAAACACATCGAGGAGGAGCAGATACGATATCCTGATATACTGTATGACAGTCTTGGCACACCACAAATTTCTTGATGCCTTTTGTAATAGCAGAAAATCCTGTCATTTTTTGTAAACCGGCAAGACTGGTTGGTAATTGAAAATCTTGGTCGTAGATTCTCAGCAGGTTGTTGATAAACTCAATCAAGACAGCAGCACCCTTATCAACAACATGACGTGAAGCAAATAGTACCGTAAAGATGGCTATGAATTGATGGACTTCATTTTCGGGCATATCAGGAGCAGCAAAAGGGTCTGTAAAAAAGTAAAAAAAATTAACACTTGATTTTTCTTTTACTCTCTTTTTCTTTTAGTTTTCTTTATATATCTCACACTGACCTTCACTGTTGAAGTCCTCAATCTCGATCTCATTGACTTCATCTTCAACATTGGCATCGAAATCATTGTCGTCTCTGTCATTGTCAAACATTGAGGCGGCATCCAAAAAAGGTGAGTTGGCCTGACCGTCCATTGCTTTCACAGAATCGGAACGAGAAGTCGGGATTACTACAAATATGGAATATAATAGTTTATTAGTTTTTTTTCTGCTTTCAAATAAAAAAATTCTTACCCTCAGTATCTACATCCATGTTTCTCATTGCGGCTGTGTTTCATTAAAAGTTTAAAAATAAACAACATAAATAAAAAATAAAAAAAAATTAAAACGATTATTACGCAGCAAACAAAAAACCAACACTGAATATATTATACTATTCTCAAATATTCTGGTACCTTCAACTCTAGCTCTCTTATTACGACGAGTCTTAGTACGCTTTGCAGCATAAGAAGATTTCTGATGACTGTTGTGACATTTAATGCAGTGACAGTCTAAGGTGTGGATTTGGGTAGAGGGAAACATATTGTGTATAGCTTGAATTATAAAATAAAAAAGGAAACAAGTACTACAAATACTTTATTTGATGTGATTTTATAGCAAGCCAAAAAAATATGAATTTTTTATTGTCTATCTAAACCAATAGAATACGTCGAAAATACACCCCCAACTTAAATAAAAAAAACGGCTGAGCTGAAAAAAAACCCTGACATTTCCACTACCTTTCTCGTTACTTAAAGCTATAGTATTTTTTTTATTTTTCCAGTGTCAACAAAGTCACAATCCGCAATAACCATCCTTTACCAAGAATTGACGAATGCCTAGAACGATTGCGTGGAGCCAACCATTTCACCAGCCTAGATCTCAAGAGTGGCTACCATCAAGTACGCATTCAAGATTCAGATGTGCCAAAAACAGCGTTTAACACCCGCTATGGTCAATACGAGTTCCTGGTCCTTCCTTTTGGTCTTACCAACGCCCCGCCAACTTTCCAACATTTGATGAACAAAGTTCTGGGAGAATGTTTAGACAACTTCGCTTTGGTCTACTTGGAAGATATTCTCATATTCAGTAAAACCTCAGCAGAACACGAAGAACATGTACGACATGTCTTGAACCGTCTCCGCGAAGCCAAGCTGATTTCCAACTTTAAAAAATGTGAATTTAACAAAAAGGAACTGACATTTCTTGGTTTCAATGTGTCTGCTCAAGGTATCCTCCCGTCTCCAGATAAAGTCAAGACCATACAAGAATGGGTTCCACCCTCTAATGTTCAAGAAGTGCGCCAATTTATTGGTTTGGCACAGCATTATTGCCGTTTTATCCCAGATTTTGCTGGAATCGCTGCTCCATTAACTGATCTTACCAAAGGAACAGGACCTAAACGACGACCAATTGTATGGACTGACACTTGCCAAGACAGCTTCGACATCCTTAAGGAAAAACTCAGCACTGCACCTGTACTACTTGCACCAGATATGGACAAACCTTTCCGAATTGAGACAGATGCTTCCGATTTTGGTGTCGGTGCTGTATTGATGCAAGAAGATGAAGAAGGAGTCTGGAAACCACTGGCATTTGAATCCAAGAAACTTTCCAGTGCTGAACGTTCCTACCCAGCCCAAGAACGTGAACTTTTAGGAATACTGCACGCACTACGTACCTGGCGCTGTATGATTGAAGGGAAACCATTTACTGTTTTTACTGACCACCTGCCCCTCAAGTACTTCCGTAGCCAAGTTAAACCAACCCCTCGATTAATAAGATGGATTTCCGAATTCGAGTTGTATGACCCCATTATTCAATACAAACCTGGCAAAGACAACAGTGTCCCGGATGTACTTTCTCGAATTGACGGTCCTGAATTTGATGCATCTACAATTGAGTCTATGGAGCCAGAGTATCTGTACACCATGCCCGAATCACAGACTTCAGATTGGCCCAAATACTATGCTCGCACGGAAGATGAGTGGCCAGATGACATAAAAGAGTTGCTACACAGACAACGCAAGAAATTCGTGGTTCATGATCAGAAGGTTTTCCACTTGGTTAAGATTGGTGACACATTTCAAGAAATCCGTTTTGCTCTGTTTACCAAGCGTGCCGATCTGGTAAACAATTTCCACAATGGGTTTGGACATGCTGGTGAGACAACAGTTTATGACTTGATGAAGAAACGTTGGTGGTGGCCAGGAATGCGAACACAGATCCAAGAATGGCTTGCAAAATGCCCCCAGTGTCAATTAGCGTCCAATGCCAAGCGAAATATCCACCATGCACCCATGGAACCCCTAGATATTCCCCCTCCATTTTCCCGCTGGCATCTAGATTTCATTGGAGAGCTCCCAACAACTGTAAATGGTAACCGATGGATTCTCATTGCAGTAGATTACGCCACCAATTGGCCAATAGCACGTGCTGTACCTGCTGCTACTGGTGAAGCAATAGCCAATTTCCTGTATGAAGAAATTGTAATGCATTTTGGTTGTCCCAACGGGATCCTCACTGACCGCGGCGCCAATTTCATGTCACACATCCTCAGCTTTTACATTAAAAAGATTAAATTACACCACAAGTTAACATCAGCATTTCACCCTCGAACCAACGGAAAATGTGAACGTTTAAATGGTATTTTAAAACAGATGCTACGAAAATATGTACATGGCACTATTCATTGCTGGGACAAATATTTGGAAACTGCACTCTGGGCCTGCCGAATTAGGAAACACCGAACAACTGGTTTCAGTCTGTTCTTCCTGACCTATGGCCGTGAACCTCATATTCCAGGTGATCCTCTACACCCATTCATGGATACCGCTATTCCTGATGATCCTTCTCTTGTCTCTGATGGTGCTATCCCTTTTCTCCGCAATCTGCAACAAGCCCGCATTAATGCTGATGCTCGAGTAGCCACCAATAGCCAACAAGACAAGGAACGATGGGATTCTATTATGAAACTGCACCAATTTGCAATCGGTGAACATTTATTGCTCCGACATGAAAACAAATTTGGCTTAGAATATAACTGGATGGGACCATACATAGTTATAGACAAGAATGCAGATAAAAATATATACAAGCTCACTGTTGTGGGGAGAAAATAAAGCAAAATATAATATAGACAAAAGAATTCGTGAGAACTTGTGTAGGTTGTTTATTTCAAAAGCAAAGTAAAGAATGATAAAATTCGATTGTCTTTCTACACGGAACTATCTACTGATATTTATATGTTTTTCTAATTTGTAATTCAGTGTGTGCTTAAGTAATCTTTATCACGATGAGTCATCTTCCAGGAGTATTGTTCTTCTGGAAAGATCCGGAAAGACCAATTGATATGATACTTCTCCAGTCAGATCAGTCCAAGAGTTTTGGTAAAGAAGAGCATTTATGCTATTGGTAATATTTTAGTATTCCGACCCAGATACTTGGGTAATGATTCATAATATTAGATAGTTGTAGTTGTAGTCTCTCAATTAAGTATTTGTATAATAAAAGAAATATGTAGATGAAATATAATGATGCCATATATATAATGTATATGTATTTGTATATCCCATGTCATGGTGATAATAATAAATAATCAATTATGTGTATGATGATCTGTGTATTAGATAATATCATAAAGGGAGATCCGTTTGACTGGAATAGCTGAGGATATTATTTTATCCTTCAGTCTTACTCTCAGATTCAGCAGTAATCAATACTCATTCACAACACTCACAACTATGGAAGGTGTCCCTTATACTTCCTGGGTTCACGCCAATCGTTTAAAAATTGCAAAATCTGATGATTTTGACCATACCTGGTATTACCCAACCCCTGCCCATGCCCAAATGCGCCGCGATTTAGCCTTGGACTCTTCTTCTGCCCTACTGTTTTCCCTTGTGGATTCTTCTGGGGTTGATCGAGGACTATCAACAGTTTCGGGAGGGGGTGATGTCGGACATTATTTTGATGAATCCGTAAAATCTGAAGATAGTTAACCGCAGTACTTCTTTATGCGCAGTAATATCTTTCTGAGCATTAACCGCAGTATAATGACTATTTCCTTAATTAAATATAAATAATAACTACTGCGGATAATGCGCAGTATTAGTTTAGAAAACTATATAAGACAATTCAATTCATATCAATAAAAAGTATCTTTTATCCTCTCTTTGATTTTACGTATACTCCTTGATCCCCAGTGGGTTTGACCTTTTGACTTTGTTATAGTAAAAGGAAGACCAACCCAGATCGGGAACGACAAATTTGGGCACGACACAAAATGAAGAGAGTGGGATTCGAACCCACGCCTCCGAAGAGATCACGGCCTTAACGTGACGCCTTAGACCAACTCGGCCATCTCTCCACTTATATTGTAACACGGGGTAATAAAAATGATTTTGCGGTAAACAATTTTGGCTGTCCGGCGGTGCGGTGACGTTGCAGAATTCTTTATAATTCTAGAAAATTATATTCTATTATTATTTTTTTGATTTTTTGATGGCGGCCAAGGCTGAATAGAAAGCAAGTTTCCTATTTGTAGAGAAAAACACCAATAAATACAACGAAAAGACATCATCCTGTCAACAATAACTTCAGGCAACCACACATCATATTGTATTTTCTTACTATATTTAACTGAACAAATCAACTTGGACTTAATATTATTTTTATTATATATTCTTATAAGCATAATTATCTTCATAATTATGACTTAATTATTATTTTATTTTATTTGTACTTAATGATAGTAAAGAACAAATCATATTTAATAGATTGTTGATTATACAGCTTTTATTATATATTTTTTTATAATTTTATTTATTTAATTATTCAACAAGTCAATTGCAAAGCTATAAATATCGCAATACTGACATTTAATAAACATGGATTTTTCTTCATCTTATTTTCTGACAACAAGTTCTCTTAATATTTAATACTGTTGATATTTTATTTGTTTGATTATCCAAGTATATTAAGTCAAGTCTATTGAGATTGATTAATAGTACTGTTTTTTTTCTCTTATTTTTCTCTTATTAATTTTATTATCTTTAATTCTACATTCTCTTTTGAGTTTGTCTTTTTCTCTCTTGTAGAAAAGAGAGGTTATTTCATATCTACAAACCCATTCAAACCTTGAAAAGCGTGATAATATCACTTGTCAACATTTACCACAAATACAAGCACCACATGCGTCAATTGACACATGGTATGATAATGTACTTAGCCGTAGTTTACAAATCATAATCTACCAAGTTCAGACATTCTTTGAAAACCCCTTTTAATTTTTCTTCAAAATTTTAATTCTAATTTTACTTTCTTTCTTTCATTTTCACAAAATCATCTTTTTTCAAAAACTGATTTTCTGAAAATTAAAATCCTTTCCCCTTTATTTTTCCCAAAATTGTTAACTGAATAGTATTTCCCTTTATTTATAATAGGATGTTTCTGCAGTTTTAGATGTTTAAATTTAATTTATTAAATGATTGAATATCATTAAACTAAATGTGAGATATTTTTAATCTATAAACAACTAGTCATTACCATTAGTTGTTTATAGATTGAGATTCAGAGATTATGGAATTTAATTTTTTTAACAAACAAATTTAAGCATAATTGATTATGTTCTCCATATCTTCTCTGTTTTTTCCCTATGTTTTCTTTTAATAACTTGACCTCTTATTCACAATGCTTACATTAAATGATAGACAGATTATTCTCAGAGATCTGAAAGAGAAGATTTTCAAAAAGCTTATTGAAAGAAAGCTTTCTTTGAGTACATCTGTATTAAATATTATTAAGAACATCTTTAAACTTTTAATTTATCAGATTGTGCTTGAAAACAGATACCTTTTCCCAAGACTCCATATTCTATAAGCTCCAAGCAGAATAAACTGGCTTCTATATTAATTAGATGACAACTGATTCAGACAGGAATTCTACATAAATAAAAACTCCTTCCATACAATACTTTGAATGATAAAAGACCATTGTGTTTTCAAAAGTGATCCACACAAGAATCAGACAGAACCAATAATTCAGATGATGTTGGCCTTAGAGCAGCTAGGTACATATAGAAATGATATTTCTGTGGGTCACACTACACAATCAATGTGTATCAATGACAACTTTTACTGTTTTTCAACTATTATATGCAGTATATATATTTTGATAGTTATATATATCTCATTGCATAGAAGGATCAGTTTACCACTATATAGAAAGATTTCTCACCACCATAATATTATTAGAGACTAGCACTGTGGTTTGACCTGATTAGTTAGACTGTCACAATATTAGTAGAAGAATTGAAGAAATAACACGCTTCCCTTCTTATCTGAGCTTTGTAGATGGAATCTTGATTAACCTAGAATATAAGCCAACCTGGAAAGGAGAGAACTTTTACAGTCGAAAGTCTTGTTACTGTATTTCAGCAACCATTATATGTGATGCTGAAAATATTATAAGATATTGTCATACTGTATGGCCAGAGTGCTTTTATGATGCTTGTATATTTGCAAATACGCATATGACAAGAAATCCTGGCCAATATTTTTCTGGGGATCAATACGTGTTGGGGAATTCAGCATATGCACCAAGTCATATCATTATACCTGCCTACAAGAAGCCACAAAATGGATTGATATCAGTAGAAAATAAGAAATTTAACTATAAGCATGACAATACATAGGCCAAGATTGAACATTGCATTAGTATTCTGAAAGGGAGATTCCAATCCTTAAAAAGCTTACAAATCTTGTTAAAAAACAAATATGATGTGGCTAAGATTGGAATATGGATTAGATGTTGCTGTATCCTATACAACCTTTTATTAAAATGTGGTTATAGCAATTTTCAAAAACTTTCCTATGATGATACTGATGATACTGATAAGAATGATAGTAAGGATAAAGATGAGAATAATAATGAGCATAGAGAAAACTTATATCAAGTAGAATTGGGTAAAGATAAGAGGGAAAAAATAAAGCATATTATCTTGAAGCAATAAACCTCAAATGTATTTTTACTCTTATATAACTTGATTGCCTAGTATATAATATGTTTTATTAAAGTTTTATATCCAACTTTCCCAATATATACTGTTTGGAAAGTTCTAAACTCTCCAACTTAGCAATGTATTGAAGCTTGCTTTGATTACAATCATTCTCTAACTGCTTTGCTTCAATGTTCAGCCACCTCTCCTTCATCATCATTCTGTCTCCATACACAATCCCCTGGTGGCAAAACTGTCTTTCATTAACCTCGACTTCAGCTTCAAACTTTTTCTGCATCAGCTCAACGTGAATATGATTCAGCTTGACAGACTCTTCTATAGTCTCTGAGATGCTTGCATTAATTGTTTTTCTGATCTGCTTGGAAGGTTTTTAGGAGCCTGAAAACGTGGTAGACAGATGGTAGACTAGAAGTGTTTTATCTAATTGTTCATCATCTTGAACTTCTGCATCAAATTCTGCTTCATCTTCAGCTTCAACTTCTTCATGACTGCAAGTCTCTTCCTACACCTAAGAGACATCAATTGGGTCACCACTTGTCATTGGAAATAGTGAGTTAACTGATGGTCTGTGAAGCATTACATACTTAAGATCATAGTAATAAGTGCATTTTTGCTTTACTTTTTCTAACAATAATAATGAAAATTTATTATTTATTAGAAGTCACTCTTTTTTGATATATAAATTAAGCATACAAGTATATCTTCAAGTGTCTTTTCAGCTTCCTCTGGAGTTTTTTCACTCTCATTGATATCATTCAGAATGTCTTGCCCAGTTCCATTTAGAAAGTTGGTAGCATCCTTAAACTTATTGTGCAAGTACTGAATCTTGCTGCAAATGTCACTATTACTCCAATTAGTAATATCATTATTAACTATAATTTCTCTGGTTTCCAAGCAAAGAACCTCTTTTGTTTTCCGACTAGAATCACCACCTTTCCAGCAAGAGCAGTTGCGGATTTCTGAAGTATCTCCTTATTTTATCCTACGGAGAGTTTGAATTTTGAAAATCCGTTGAGGTAGTGACAGGTTTTACTTTTGGTAAATTCAATTAGAATTGTATTTGTTTATATCAATCAGAAATATTTTTTCTTGTACTTTTATCTTTTAATGATATATATTTATTATTTTTATTATTATCTCTGAGTATTCAAGTTTCTAAAATATGAAGGGTTCTCACTTCTATATTCATCCATCAACCTCACAGCATCTGCGAGTGCTCTTTTTATAAGATCTGCCTTTGTTTGATCTAAGCCAGGAATTGTCTTCAAAGTTTGAAGATCTTCAAAGCCGTGATGCATCGTTGCAGAATAAGCTGCAATTTCGTCAAAGACATATACACCTCTATCTTCAGCAGTACCTCCACTCTCTAATTCCTCCTCTACTTCTTTCTCAACTTCGTTCTCGTTTGCATTTACAGCGTCTTGTCGGTTCAATACCACTCCTGCTATCTCCCGTTGCTCGATGAAGCTGAATTTTGCCCCACAGTAACGCTTCAACAAATGTGAATGCTTGCATGGGATCTGGCGGGTCAGAAAGTTTGGGCAGGTGCAGCTTTGTATCAAGTCATTTGATATATTGATGGTATACCACTTATCTTCTGTTACAAAAGATCTTATTTGCCACTCACCATTATAATCATCCATGCTGTTACCAGTCTCACTCAAAGGGTTGAGAATCATGGAAGGGAGCATGTCATTTTGGATTTTTGAAGCAACAAAAGAATTTCTTGCTAACTCATTATCAATGGGACCCATCTTACCATTGTTGAAGTGAATACGCTCAACCTCTTGTTCAAAATAGAACTCCACATCATTTGTCAAGATAAAAATTAGTCGATCCAATCTTCTGATGCGTGCACGACCAAAGTAGATTGTCTTGAGTTGATTGTGCCATGATTCTACATAGTTGTTTGTCACATATCTCTGATGTTGTTGGCTAATGTATGGGCGCCCCCATCTTCGCAACAATTCTTCGTTCTCGGTCCATTTCTTCTCAAAATATTTCAAAAACTGAGGTTGATCCTGAACCATCAGTTTAAAATCTTCAATTGCTCTTAGGAACACGTCTTCGTTTGACTCGATGAGAATGTGTCTCAGGTAGTTCTTCAGTGCAGTCTTATAATTCCCAAGTTGTTCTGATGTATAAGAGGCATTAAGTTTAATCTTGCTGTCAAGGTTGTGCTGCCAAGCGCGAAGAACATGAAAATCACAGTAGTGAATTGTAGCATGAGGTAATGCTTCTTTGATTGCATTAACCTCCATAATGCTACAGTCAATGGTAATATTCATTGGTACAAAGCTGCTCTTGATGCGAAGGTGGTCAAGCCAAAGTTTGATGGGTATGGCTGTCTGGTTGTTTGTCACCATGTATACAACAGGGAATCCCTTTCCTGTTTGAGGATGGCGAGTGACCAAAGTATATAATACTTCGTCGCTTCTGGACGAAATGGAATGGGTGGCATCGAGACAAAAAGATTGCGAGATTCTCATGATTGAAACTTGCATTGGTGATTGAAATCCAAAGGCAAATTGTTTTTTACCGTCATTATAAACAGAAAGATTGATTTCAAAAATGCAATAGTTTTGTTCTGCTAGCTTTACATTTAACCAGATGGAAATAGATGCATTTTCATCAGAAGCAAACATATATAACAAAGTAGTCATCTATTTTATATACGAGTATTTATTTGATATATAAATATTAATTTAATACGAAAGCTCTGTTATATTCATTGACAAACCTTTCTCATTCTGTTGTAAATTTCTTCATAATTAGGCTTTCTAACGCCAACTCCCCAACTATCAATCTGTCTAAGAACTGAAATTCTTGTACTTCTACAGCTGCTGCCACTTTTCAACTGATCTTCAATAATCTTTATGGCTTCAGAAGGCAAAGGAAGAGTTCTGACTTCGTCCCAGTCTCCAGGAACATGGTTTACATGTGCCCTTGTTTGGCAAAATGTAACAACATTGGGGTTGTCGAGATGCTGTATGATTTTTAAGGCAGCTGTACAAGAGCATGCCTTCGTATCTTTCTGGGCAAGACGTAATTGGCGGTTTGTTATATATTGGCCAGCACGGTGGCATTTTTTAGTCTCTCCAAAAACTAAACCTTTTCCAGAATATTTATGCTTTTTATTCCATTTTGTTGAGCATAAGACATTGATTTGCTCCAGACACTTTTCCCATTCACTAGCTTTTACTAATATTGTCGAATTCAAAGGAAGCATCTTGATTCCTTCCAAAGGCGAGTTGATCAAGACTTGTTGAATGGTGGAAATATCATAAATAGTGTTGTTTATATTGTTGTTAGACATAATTGAAGTTTGTTTTTAAGAAAGAGGGAAGTGATTATTTGTTAAAAAAAAATGCCATGTGTGGGATGCAAAAGCCACTGTCTGCCATTAAAGTTAGAAAGCCATAGGACTAAATTAAATACTAATTCAAACTCTCCGTAGGATAAAATAAGGAGATACTTTCTGAAGGTTTATGGTGTTTTAAAGCTCCGAGTTCAAACTCCGCCCTTTGCTTCAGCATGGGAGATTTTCAATATCAAATTTTCAATATTTTACTTACATACATTTTGATTGGTCTATATAACCCAGATTAATTGGGATATCAAATTTGACCTATTTTATGAGACTTGTCAACTACATATGGCAATTTTAAAAGGGCAAGTATCTATAAATAGACCCTCTCAATATTTTGGCAAAACCAAAAAATGACTTGGTGAAAATCATAATTTTTTTTTATTAATAAAGATCAAAAAAAATCAATATTGTCGATTTGAAAACAAGGAAACAAAGAACTAGTAGGAGCCAAATTTACTGAGATTGATGACAAACTTGTTATTAAATTCTGTGTGCATATCAAGCTTACATACAATTTTCAGCTGATTGAGTAGAGTAGATGCATCATTAGAAACCCTTTGTGCAAGGAGGTAGTTATTAACTTGAGCGTGGGGACTACTCTCAACTCAATAGTATTCTATTCTCAAAGAGGGGACTTTTCCAATAAATGGATGAGCATGTTGGTCTCTACTCTCCTTAAGCATGAACACCACAAAGGTATTGTCACAGAGTGCTTTTGTTGTAATGTCATCAGTGTCGTTATTATCAGCAAATTCTCTTGATCCACCAAACAGAATATTCTTAACATTGTCGTTAAAGTTTTCTTTAAGAAATTCTGCTGTGAAATTACTATACTTCTCTCTCATTTTGTCTTTGCTCACCCATGAATCATCATCAATGATGTGTCTCATTGCAGATTGCTTGGTGAGCTTGAGACATACATCTCTTGAGATGTTTAACCTATTGGTATACATTAGATGTTCACGAATGTGTTTGTTAAACTGCTCACCTTTTTCGGTCTTGTAATGTAGAGCAGTTCCAAATCTTTGTAGATCGTTGGGCAGATGTGTGAGCAGGTGAACCTTGGGCTTTGAGGAATATGGATTATGTCCTTCAATTTCACAGGTAATGACATAATGATGCAGTTCTTGGATAAGTCTTGTAACTGCCTTTTCAACTTTGTTGATGTATATATTATAATTATACCTTACTGCTCTAACAAACACCAAGGAGCAAAGACGGCCAAGATGGACAAAAGATGGAATTATGAGAGAGAGAGTGTACTATTATTTGCAAATTCTGTAACTAAGATAGTGGGTAGAATTTGCAGAAGAGCTTTGTAATCCCTCCCAAGGAATGAGCCACAGTGTCGTAACTCTCGAGTGAACTTTCTTCACATTCCTTGAGAGTTTTCATAATCCTTGAGGGCTTTGGACAATCTAGCCATTTGGTTAGAATTTTTCTTTAGTATAACCTTTACCAAATCATTGACTAGATACTTAGCAACTCCAAGAAGTATGTTATGCAAAACTTCAACTGGAGTATCTGTCGATGGATTGAATGACTGTAGTTCCAACAATGCATCTGTTGCCCTATTTGCGAAGCATAGGTTGCTTGCTGTCAGAGCATTTCCAGTCAAAGGAGTATCTGAAATAGTCGATCCACGTCCCGAGGTAAACGCAGCAGCAAGATAGTGTGCTTTTGTTCTTGCTGTGTGTCTACCAGTATAATACAAAGAGCTTTGGAGGTTGGGCATGGATCTTTGTAAATGGACATAACATTTGCAGCATGAGTACAGACTTGTGGCATGCACAAACCACATAGTTCAGAATGGCATGAAGTATCTGCCTCAATCCAAAGGAGTGGTGATGCTACTAAGACGTTTTTGTTGTCTTTGGCAGAGAACATCACCAGTCCGTTTTTGAGCCTTTTGAAATCTTCAATGATTTTAGGCAACAAGGACATTTCACTTGCCCCCTTTTTCTTAGGAACAGCAGAGAGAAAGTGTATGTTTTCAATTGAAGACCTCTCTTTGTAGGAGAGAGCAGCAAACTTCATTGACCAGCTTTCGTACGGGTTATATTGCTTTGATCAGTTTCTGGAGGTGTCATCCGTGAAGAGTATAATAGGCAATATCCTCACCTTGTAAAACAACTTTGGATCGATTGGCTTTCCGGTTTTGTCTAGTACGTGCTGTTTTAAGAAATGAGGCTCTTCCAGCAAGGACTTGTGGTAATCCAGATACTCGGATGTTGGATTTAGCACATATAAGAACATATTCATATTGGGATAGCATAGTAGCTATCATCTTGTCAGTATAAAATATATATAAACGATTAAGTAATCAGCCCAATAATTATTACAGTTAGTACTGTAGATAATATCTTAAAGGTTGTTAAGATAATTATATCATACTGCCGGGTAAACTGTGTCAGATCGATATGGAGCTAATTTAGTAGGAAGTCCTAAAGCTCTAGTATAAAAGAGAAAAGAATAGCTAAGAGCTAAAGAAGTACGATTTATGACTTGATGTCATAATTGTTACACCGACACCAGTTAAGCAGTAAATACACTCTAATAACCAAATATAGTAAAGGAAGAAAGCCTTAAGAAACTAAGACGTAATGACAAGAGCAGATTGTGTTTTCTTATAAAAAGGGACACTTTTTATTTATGAATAAAGGCAACTTATATACAGTCTCAAAGTATTTCTATACATCTCTATTATCAAATATTTTATTTTTCTATTGTTTCGTACCTGAAATACCACAAAACATGCAATTGGGTTTTTCAAAATTCTATTTGCTTTTGTTTCTGGAAACATTTTCAGAATAGCTATTAAATATTTCTAACTGCTAGTGCAAGCATACCTACCCTACAGTAGCAGCTACTGCAGGGTAGGTATGGGAAGCCTAAAATTATCTACCCCCAATATTTTCAACCCATAAAAATAAATAAAATCGTATTTTACCAGCCAATATTTTTTTGCAATCCCATTTATCAATTTTGTGATTCTTTCGGACCTGAAACTTCAATAAAAAAGCTATTCCCAAAATAGTAACATAAACTCACGGGCTGAATAACAAAATTGTTACACAAAAAATCTGCTATGGTGTTATAGTGTCATAAAGCAATCTGCAGATTATCAGTTCAATTTGCACAAAAGAAATACAAATATTTAGTGAAATATAACATATTTAAATTATTATTATTAATTACTTTAAAGTTTGTTTTCTCTATCAATTTGGGACGTCATGTGACGTGCATATACTTAAAACAATGCCGTGATGGTGGGCTATGTAGATGCAGTTTGATTGTCACATAACGTCACAAATTGATAGAGAAAATACAATTATAAAGTTTATAGTATCTATTTTAAGTGTTATAATCTTATAAGTAATATGGTTTGTGTAGTTGTTAGGAGCAGATGCTCTAACAGTCACAACATCTACGTAGCTAAATCTATCTATTATAACTATCTTAACATATCATATTCTCATACCACTTCTATAATCCCTAAATATCGATCATTGGGATTATTCTTAATAGTAATATTATTTAACTACTATGAACGAAATTGGCGTGGCAGTCCTACTAATTTTTTATTAATTTGTTGGCCAGTCACACTACACTTAAGCAGGGTAGATTAGTGGTAAATGAGCTATGTTAGTTACCAATCAATGCAGTTTTGCCACACCAAATTTGGTTAGTGATTTGGAACAGATCTTAGTGGCTCTCCTACCATAAAACTTAGTGGAAACGTAACCAATTAATGTGGTTTTGTGCTAAAAAAACAGTGTAGCATTTGCCAGTTTAATGTTAATATCTACTATACCTTGGTGTAGTTTTTTTTTACAAAAAAGGAAATTATGATGTGGTTTTTTATAAAAAAAAAAAACAGCAATGTAGTTTTTTTATTAAAAAAATAATTTTAGACAGTAGGTTTTTTTTATTTAAAATAGCAGCATTGGTGGCATTGCTTATTTTCACTTTTTGTAAGAAACTATTGGTAGGCTTATACAGTGTTTTTTTTTGGGTTTTTCTATTTTGTTTTGTATCCAGCAAACAGGTTGCTAGGATATATGCAATATCCTTGACAATGAGATGAGACGAGATAACATTCGGAACAATTATTCTACAGGATAGGATGGAGCAATATTGCTGAGTTAAACTATGCAATAACATTGTTTAATACTCAATACCACGAAACAATAGCAAAAATAAAGAAATATAATAGCACTAACAACTTACATAACTTCAACAAACATAATATAAAAGCATGCTTCTTATAAATCAGTGTTTTTTCTATTGAGTAATAATACCAATAGTTAGCATTTGTAGCTTTAAAAAGAAACCCTTTTCAATATATTTATCTTAGGTCAATCAAAAACAGTAAACCACCCCAAAAAGTCAATAGTTCACAGGAAAGCAACTTGAAAATTCTCAAAACTAAACGAAATAATAATAATATTAGTATACATATAATATAAAAAGTTCAATTCTGTTAGTTACCTTTCAATTGATATTGTAAATAAAGTACATAAACTTCAAAAAAATACTATTGAAAAGCTATATAATTATTAGTACATTTAAAACAGCTCTTTTTCTTTGTACAAGAATATTTACCTGGGTTTACACATCAAATTAAAGGCTGGTTATTGCTGTATCAGAATAGAGGTTGCTCATAACTATTTTTGATTATTCAAAAAAAAAGATAAATGACCAAGTCCTATTCAAATGTATATATAGAATACCTTTTTCAGCTATGATGCATCTTGAATTCTTTCTTATTGTTAATTGCAAAGTCGTATCTAGAGTCTGCTTCCATTAGTTTAAATTTATTTCTATTTCTTTTAGATCCAGATCGAATGATTTATTACAAAAGTGAACAATTCAAAATATTCCTACAAGATTTCAACTTTTATTGGTGTGCTTTTGCTTGGCTGGAATGTGGGTGATGGAAAACATAAGAAAAATAAATACAGTGTTTAGAATTAACTAATGCTACCAATGATGGGGATCAAAAAAAAGAAGAAACAGAGTAAAATGTTTTATTGCTGTGCACAAATATGATCATGTGGCTTGTGGCCCGTGCTTTTTTTTACTTTTCTAAGTATGTCTGCTGCGTGTTGGTCTCCTTGGTGGTGTTATGACCACAATTGACTCCTCTTCAGAGATAATGTTGTTGGCACTATTTGAAGCAGAGAAATTATCAATTTCATTACATTATATATTGAAATGAGTCTGTTTGTACCTATTGTCCTGAACTAGCACAGCCGCTCTCTCCTATGATATTTAAAATCAAATTAATAAAGATACTTGACTTTTGCAAATTATATACAAACCTTTCTTCTTTTTTCTGTTTGGCATTCAGCCTTAATTACTTCCCGTAAAAGAAGAGAAGCAGCCCATTGATCTTGACATTCGTAAAGTGGGAAGTTGTAGTTATTGAAAATTAACTCCACAAGTTGCAAAGAGTAGTACAATTTTTTCTGAGAATTCAATTTTCCCCAATTTACTTTCACAACATCATCATCTTTTATTATATACCGACATTGCCTGGTATACATATAAAACTGCAAGCAAATAAGCTTTTGCTCTAGTGATGATATATAGTAGGTATCTTCCACTCAATATTGAGGGTCCAGATATAGGTCACCACCAAAAATTAGGACCAAATAGCTATACTGTTTCCCAAAAAAATTATAAGCCCGACTGGATCAGAACTAGTCATTATACTTCATTAAAGGAGCCAATAAAAATTGTGAAATTTTTATGACTCTTTGTATACCATGCATTATTACTCATATGTGTTCATGAGTACTATTGCATACAAATTATTAGATACTTTGTCAAGTTGTATGTAATGGACTCACAAAGAATTGATTTCTTATAAAACAAGCATGTATTTAAAGAAAAGTATAAAATAAAATTGTTTTTGCCTATCATTTTCTTACTATTACTCCATCGTTTTTTTATTACAAAATGTCCAACTTCCCAATCCAAGCTGCTGAAGCTCAAAAAGAAACCAATATCATTAATGTTATATCTCAAATGAAAGCACTCACAAGATGCGCAAACACTGCTAAGGCATATGACAATAGAAGGCAAAAATACTTGGTAAATTCTTAATATATCATATACAAAATAAACTATTCATTAATTGATTATATTAACTTTATTTTTGCTTTAATTATAGGATTACTGTGCAAGAATCTGTCATACCTCCAGTGCATTGGTTACTGAGACAAAATTGCTTGATTTTCTTCAGCAAGATGTCGTTCTGTTTGGCAACAGACAAAGAGCAAGACGTGGCAAGTTTAGACCCAATGGCAGCCCTTACCCACTCAGTCCCTCTTCAATTGATCAATATATTAAAGCAGTTGTTGATCTTCATACTGATCAAAAGTTCTTCATAGTTGGCATCAACCTGCAAGATCCTCGTGGAACTCTATTGAAGTTGTATTTGCGTTCTCTCAGACTTCAAGAGGCTGACAGACTTCGTCAATCATACTAAGACCGTGGAGCTGGTACCTTGCAAGTCGGATACACCCCTGAAGAAATGATTTGCGTATCAATGTACTACTTTGGCCAGGCAACTGAGAAGACCATGCATGACCAAGCTGCCTTTTTGATGCAGCACACTATGTTGTTACGTAAAGAAAGCACAAGAAGAATAGAGCTCCCGGATCTCTTTATGCTGGACTTCCAAGACGAAGGATATTCAGACTGCCCAGCATTAGTCCTTCTTATACGCGAGGGAAAGACCAACCATACTGGAAAGCTGGAGTATGCTGCTACCATCCACCACAAAGATCACAAGCAGTGGGCTTTCGGAGCCTTGGCGTTCTATTTCTTTTTTTGGTGGCATGTGTCAAACGAGCCTTTCCCAAGTTTTAAGAAAAACAAGGACTGATTCGACTTGAAGGTATTGAAGAGCAACAAGGATACACTCAAGGATGAAATTGACTACAAGACCCAGTACAACTCTATCTGTATGGCCTTCAAAGCATGTGGTATAAACAGCATCAAGAAGACCCATGCAGGCTGTGGCAGTGGAGCCAGACATGCAGAGATTTCCAGTGCCTCTGAAGACTAATTGCGCAGACATGGCTGCTGGAATGCTTAGAGCATGGAGAGCAACTACTTGACCAGCCTCCCAAGACAATCCATTAGGATCATAGATGGTTTTCCTGGCATTGGAAAGCAGTTCTGGCTGCCCCGTGCCTCTGTCCTTCCTTCTGCATCTTTACAGACCAAGATCTTTCCTTTGGTAGAAGAAATTCTGCCATTGATTGAGGATGGCTATGAAGATGAGCAAAACTCGACTGACTCCACTACAGGGTACCCTAAGACCATTTGCAGGCAGGCGTTCCTGAAGCTTTTAAAGACGATGAGAACCATCATTCTCTAGGACGCTGTATTCTTCAGGGTAGAGTGCCCCACCAATCCCATTTTTTGCAATTTGGTTTTCTGTGATCCTGAATTCCTGGAATTCGAAGCTGGTCTGCTAGAGGTTTGCTAGACTCAAGATTCTCATCAAGAGATGAAGCTCAAGGATGTTTTGCCCGATCTACAGCATGTTCTTACAGCAATCTTTAAGAAGATAGATAATATAGCAGGGAGCATCAACTTCACCAATGCGAGGCAAGCGACATCAGCAACGAAAGAGGAGGCATACTCTGGCCATTGGAAAGACATGCAGAATGTCATAGGCTCATTGAATGGGCTTAACTTCTCATTCAATGAGTTTAGATCTGCATGTGTTAATTTTGGAAACAACACTACTTCTGCTCCTATAATCATGCCCACTGAGAGTGGCTCCATTGATTAAGACTGCCCGAGACCTGCCACACCCAAGCCAACAGCCAAGCAAGCGCCTAAGTATAATATGCAAAGGTGGATAAAAAATGTCAAGGACCTTTGGCACGAGTATACTGTTAGGTATACTATTGATAATGTCATGTACTCTGATTGAAGAGCTCAAAAAATATAAAAATGCATGGAGAGATGAAACAGGTATGTAATAGATAACGATCAATGCAAAGATAATATTTTGGTTTTAACTTGTGAATATTTTGTAGAACAAAAATTCTATTCTCGCCGAGTTTCTATCATCTATGCTATAAAAAAATAGCAGAGTTAAATGGTGGTGACTTTAATGCTGCAGTGAACGAAGTAGAGGGAAGGCGAGTGAGGGAGGGGATCACCTTAAACCAGCTTAACAAAGCTCTTAAGCTTGAGCTAAATTAGAATAGTTTTTTTTCTCTTTTTTTTTTTAATATAACTATACTTCTTTTCGTTTTTTTTATATATATATCTTTATACTTATCTTTTTCATACTCTTATATCTGTATATTTATTTCTTTATACTTTTTTTATATATATCTATATATCTTTAATACTTTTTTATACTTTTTTTTTATACTTTTTTTTTTAAAAAACAATCAAATAAATATTCTCTATCTGTCTACAATATGTTAATGAAAGCAAAAAGCTATATATAATTTAATTAAAGGGTACAGAGAAGAGAGTATATAAGAATATACTTGTTTTTGAAATTTATTTATTAAAGGAAACCATTATTAATTGCCATGTCAAAAGATTAAAGAAGTATGTTTATAAGTGGAATTTATACAGTTGAGAAGTGCTTTTGTCTCCAGGCCAGGGTTTTTTTTCCAGCTCGGATTTGATTTTTCATCTATATTGTTCTTATAAAAACGAACCAATGAAAGATATGTGGTGTGTATTACTTTTTTTATTAAGAGAAAATGGAAGATACCAATTTTAGAAGCATAGAAAATCCGTGACCTCTGCTAGGTTACACAGGCTAATTTTTTTGAACATTTCAAAAATTTTCGGACCTCCACTCCTTATATATTTACATCTGTCCCTTTTTGTTTTTTCCAGAGGGAGTTAATCAATGCATTGATTCTTGCAGTGTCACTTGGGGTCTTGTTTGTTCCTCGAGGTATGAACCCCATATGTGTCTCATTCATTGTTACAGTTATATGTCTTACGCCTCTGTCATCAGGATGGCTTACTAGGTATTCCATTTGTCTTTTGATTGCAGATTGTTTGATGACATCTTTGAATAAAATTTATGAATATTCAAAACAGTTGCTAAACCCATTATTCTTATCTCTATGGACGTTACTAGTTCTGTCTGTGTTAAAAGTCTGTCTTATAAACTGTTGTTGATTAGCAACATTTTCATCAATTCTAGCAACTGAAGTGTGGATATCAGCCAGTTTCTCACGAATAACAATTCTAATTGTGTTTAACATATTAATGTCCAATTGGCTATTCATATTAAGTAGATGGTTTAAAGACTATAAAAGAGAAAGGAAGAAATAAAAAATAATGAAAATAAAGACAGCTAATATATGTTGGGATAGATAAACATATAAAATCCGTTAAACCTGAACATCCAATTGATACAGACTTTATAATTAAAGCTATAAGATTGGTTTCTTTTTGCTTTCTATAGAAAATTGAATATTCCTCTCAAAACAAGAAGCAAAAACAAGAAATTAACAAATAAAATATAGACAAAATAATCAATAAGAACTTATATAAATTGCTTATATCAAAATAAAAGTAGAGCATAACAGAGTTTATATGTTTTCTGATTTATGTTTTAGAACATACCTAAATAAACTTTATTACAATGAGTCATCTTGCAGAAGTATTATTCTTTCGGGAAAATCTAGAGAGACCAATTGTTCTGATACTTCTCAAGTCATATCAATCCAAAATTTTTGGTAAAGAAGACCATTTATGCTATTGGTAATATTTTAGTATTCCGACCAGATACTCGGGTGATGTTTCATAATGTTTATCAATTGTAGTTGTAGTCTCTCAATTAAGTATTCATATAATAAATGAGATATATAAGTGAAATATAACAATACCATAGATATAATGTATGTGTACTTATATATTCTATGCTATTGTGATAATAATAATTAATACATGATAACTAATAATCAATTATGGGTATGATGATCTGCGCATAGAATAATATCTTAAAGACATATCTGGCGAAGTGAAATACCTGAGACTATTATATTATCCTTCAGTCTTACTCTCAAAGTAAGCAGTAATTGATACTCATTTACAACATCAACAAACCACGCTTATGAACTCAAAAAAATATAAAAAGGGGAGCTTTCAATCTCATTCAAGATTAAAATACCTCTTTTTTATTTTAACTTTCATATACTACCCTTTTTTCAACCTTACTAATGTCTTATTCAAACAAAAGAACCAGAAGTTCTACTGACTTGCCTTCTTTTGAATGCAATTTCTGTAGCTTGACTTACCCTACTAGCAAGCAACTTCACAATCACAAGCGTATTCACAAAACAGTCAATACTCCTGTTGCTAAAGAGAACTTACAAGAACCAGTTGTGCAATCTGCTTCAGCACAAACAAATCTAGAAGATGGTATGTATTTGAAATAATTTAGTACACACTTTCCAAACATAAATATTTATAACCCTAATTGCCTGTTACAGTTCCATTTGATCCTTTCCAGTCAAGAATCTTTAAAGCATCTTGCAACTTTGAAGCTGGTGACCAAGGACATATCTACAACAACAATATCTTCATGACATCCGAGTTATTCAGTATTTGCTTGAACAATCTTGTAACCGATTTTGGGGTTTCTACAGATCTGCATAGTCTACTTGTAGATCTTCTGAACACAGTCATTCGTAATAATGACAAGCTCAAAGAAGGTATGTTCAATTCGAATTTCCTTTAGATATTCTAGAAAGTTAACTAAAATGTTCAAACATTAGAATACAACCCAAAAATCTTGTATGCTGGGCCTGTCAACACGCTCATCAAAAGCAAGACTGACCTGAAGTCTTATGAGTACGACATTTGTGAGAATGTTTGCTTGCTCTTTGACATCACCAAGGATGAAGACAAATGCTCCATTTGCAAGGCCTACAGATACAAGGAGATCGATGGTGACTCTTCTTTGGTACCAGTAAACATCATGATGTCAATTGGCGACCAACTGGCAAGACTTCTTGGTAACGACAAGACAAGAGCAAAGCTGCAATGCAGGGCCAACAGGCAATCTATTTCAAATGAAATATCTGATTATTTTGATGGTGAAGAGTATAAAACTCTAAAAGAGCAGCAGCTCTTTGATTCCCCCAATGACATAGCAATTGCTCTGTTTCTTGATGGTTTTGTAAACCAAGAAAAATCGAAACAGCAATTGACTATTGTGCATGTAATGGTATTAAACTATAACCCTGAAATTAGGGAATAATTAGTGCAAAACATAAAAGGATTTTTTATACATGGGTTATCTTAGACTTATCTTTTTTTTTGTGTCAAGATGTACCGATGAATACCTCATCCAACTTGCGATTATACCTGGAAAGCCCAAAGATCTTGACTCTTTCTTATTGCCTATTATAGACGAAATAAGTAGCTTAGGAAAACATGGGTTGATCATCAAAAAGTTCAATGGCGAGCAGATTAAAGCCAAAGTTCACATGGTCATGGCCTCTGGTGACATTCCTCAAGTGAGTTAAAGAAAAACTAAGGAGAAAGCAACTCACCATTTTGAGCAAAAATAGGTTACCCAATTTTGTCACCACACTGGTCACATGTCTAACAAAGGTTGCCGGATATGCGAGGTAGAAGGCGTCAGCCCTCCCCACGGTAAAGGGAAATACTACCAGGACCGTTGTGCCACTTTGAGAACAAAGGACGACTTTGTTGGAGGTAAAAAAGTAAGTATACTATAGCAAAAAAAAGAATTGTATATTAATATAAATTTTATAGGCTACCGGTATTAAAGAGGCAAACATTTTTGCCCGATTGCCCACCTTTAGTGGATCTTGCTTCTATGGACTTGATGAGATGCATTTAATTGGTCATGGAATAGGCAAACTTATCTACAAACTAGTTGTACTTTCCAACACTGAATCATTGGAAGCTTACTGGCCAAAGAGTGAAGACGGAAGTCATTTCCTGAAAGATAGATATACCTTCTCTCTGAAGGAAAGTGATGTTAAGCTGGCAGGTAGACAAATCCAGTATTCTAGATCCAACATACCTGTATCCTTCCAAGGCAGTTGGGATAATATTATTGACAAGAGGGAAGGCGTAAGGGCAATCGATTATATTGATTTCCTTTTGTATGTTATCTCCACTCTGCTGGTTCCTCTGTTTACAAGACAAACAACTCGAAAGGCACTCCTGGCTCTGGTAAAAGGTTGCTCTATATGCTTGCAGTGGAATTTAAATGAGAATATGATAGTGGAAATGGAAAAGTAAGTTGAAATGAGCTTTGAAACTTTATTATTTGAAAATAATGCTTACTTTCTTTTTTAATAGCAATTTCAACATTTGGCATCAGTTTCTGGATTCTGAGATTACAGAAAAAATCTATCAGTCAGAGTCTTCTCTCCCGTAAACCATTACATTACCCATATTGGTCTTATCACAAGAAAGATGGGTAATTTAAGGGTGTACAGTACCAGATCCATAGAATGAACAATTGACAGATATTCTAAGTTGATCAAAAGTAAGGTTTTCAGTGGAAAAAACGCGGGCAACTTGGTGGAGCGACTAGCGATCCGTGGCTATCTGAACTGCTCGGTAGATTTCGATGAATTGGTGAATCCAATTATACCCACAAGGACATCTCTGGACGACTTCCTGGAACTTTCATCTCTCTCTCCCTACAATTATGATCATCAACTCTGGAGTCCGTTCGAAACTATACCCTATATACAAGAATTCACCAACATACCCACATTTACCAAGGAATTACAAACCTTTTATATCTGATCTAATTCACAGCAAACCGATCCACAATATATCATGAACACAGTTCAGATAGCAGCGTGCGCATTAATCGGTAGCCATGTATATAGTTTGGAGATGTACAGAAGAAAGTGATCAGAATTCTGTCGAGACAATCATTACATAAAATTTTATGCCATATACCAAAAGTAAGTTTGTCGTAAAGAAATGTCCTATAGAATAAAGTTTCTAATTACTCTATTTAAATCTCAGCAAAACCCACTTGTTTATTGGGTCTGTTATTTTTTATTTCTGACATAACATCTCACCTCATAATGAAAACTGCAGGCAGTTACTTGTGTTGGTAAGTGTTATGAATGATCACTCAGCCGCTGACTACAACAATTCCATTCCAGTTGTAACTCTAGAAGCAACTTCTATATACCAAAGATTAGCAGTAATTAGTATAAATGATATCCAAAATCAAGTCGGCTTAGTCCAAACCGCTATGGACTCAAAGAAATATAAAGTAGTTGCTCCATATTATATATTTAATGAAGATATGAAAAGTACTGCTGGAAAATTAAGCCATATCAAACTGTAAATACCCCATTATACCCATTTTTTTATCTCTTCTTTCTTTAATATACCCATAAACAATAAAAAGAACCTTTGTTTCTATTTCAATAATTTAAATATATTTTTATTTTAACAAGTTAAATTAAAGAAAAATTAAAAGAAAATAAGTCATGCAAAGTAGATGTATAAAGTAGCTATAGAGATTCATCTTTTTCATCTTAAAATTATTTTTTAAGATGATGTCCATTTGCAATAAAAAGGAAAAAAAATGCAAAGTAAAAATTAAAGCAAAATAAAAGATAAAAAAATCAATTTAAATCCCGCACTCTAAGTAAATTAGTGAGAAAGTTAGTTGGTCTGCCATATTGATTAGTGGTATTGGCAAAATACAACAATCTTGACAATGAGACAAAAAAAAAGTTTTACGATTTCAAATAAAAAATAAATAAATCAAGGTATTATACTCTCTATATGATATATATGTAAAAAAAAGACGTTTCTATTATGTTTTTTTGCTCTTAAATACAACTTTATCTTTTTCACCTTTTTTTAATATTTTTACCAAAATCTAGAACCAATTTGATTGGTTAATTAAAATAAATTAGTGGCATATTCACTACTATTAGTAGCGGCCACACCAATTTCATTCATAGTGAACACTTATATAGCAATTAGCAATTAACAAATAGTATAAATATCATTCAAAATATTAATCAATAAAGACTATCTTTTTCTTATTATTGAACTCACTTCTCTTACTATTTGTACCTCCACTGTGCCACGTCTGGCACACAACATGGTGAGACTACCAGTTCTCTGATCCCTGTTCCTGTCCTCTGATTCCTTACTGGCCCTCTGTGTCTATATACTCTTGCTCTCTGCTTTCATACACCATTGCTCTCTGCTTCTGTACACTCTTTTCTGTCTGCTTCTGTACACCCTTGCTCTCTGATTCCGTACACCCTTGCTCTCTGATTCTGTATACTCTTGCTCTCTGATTTCATACACCATTGCTATCTGATTCCATACACCATTACTCTCTGATTCCTTACACCTTTGCTCTTTACTACTAACGTTTTCGATCTCCTTCTTTCTTTGTCACATACATCCTGTCATCCTTCACTGCTTGGCACAAATCCCAATCCATTTGCTCCTCTGACTCCGAACCCAAAGACATGTCTCCCATTCCTCTGCCCATCCCTACCCCCACTACTGATACATCCTTTACTTTATGGCGTATCACGGAAAATGTCAAGTGTATTGACACGTCTTCTCTCTTCAATGTCCTCGACCTTTGTCTCTGGCTTCGCAAGTTCAAACTTGAGGCCGCTGCTGTCAATGCCCCGCTGGACGCCTGCACCAAAGTCCTTCGCAAGTACATGCCCCCTCCCATTTGCATGTGGCTCACCACACTACCCGACACCACTCGCTCCTCCTGGACCCTGCTGGAGCCCGTTCTTCTGGACCACTGGGCCACTCCCTCTGCCATCAACAACCACCACACTCTATGTCAGCTTTGCCAACTTTGTAAACTATCTGACCAAACTATCACCGAATTTGCTGCTACTTGGAAACATCTCAACTCTTTACTTTCTACTCAATACTCTGCTGATGAACAAGTCACCTTGTTCATCCAGTCCCTCGACTCTGTCCCCATGCGTACCACCCTCAGCTCTATCATTCTTGCTGACCTTTCTGCCCCTGTCTCTGAAGCCATCAAACTTGAAAGCCATGCCTGACTTTTTGACTTCACACTGGCCAAATGACACATCGAGCAACAATGCACTGATTCTTACCAGCCCACACCCATGGACATTGATGCTTTGCACGTTTCATTCAACACTAATCGTCCACACAAACAAAACCAACATCAGCAACAATCTCAGTACCAACAACAACAGCACCAACAACACCAACAATCTACTGATTGCCCTCTCCTCTGAGCCTACACCAAAGAAGGCTTCCCCATCTGCGATTACTACTGGATTGCTGGTCACTGAACAATCAATTGTCACACACACTTTTCCTCTCCACCCAACCCATGACAACAATCTAGCAATCACTCCACCTGGCATCAATCCCAGTATTCTTCACCTCAAATCAGCCACCTTGCCACCATTTCACAACCTCTATCCCTTTCCCCTTCCCAACCAATCTCTCCGGACACCTCAGCTGACTGCACCACACTACCTTCCCTACAAGCCCAATTCTTTTATCAGAATCTTTCTCACCCTCCCACCATCAATGCCCTTATCCCCTTGCTTTCTTCCCTGTCCCTTCGCCAGTCCCCCACTACCATCATACAAGTCGGCCCTCTCACTCTTGATGCTCTCATCAACACCGGCACTAACCTATCTATCATTAAGTCCAACATCGTTGCCCAACTTGGCCTACCTATTGATCATTCCCAAAAACAACGCTTTCACACCATCATGAACGAATCCCATTGCACTCTAGGTGTCACCTATCTTTCTATCTTTGGTGTCTTGCTTCCATTCCATGTTCTCAACAACGTTCATCACAACATTCTGCTCAGATGGAACAACCTATCTACACTTGGTGGCATTATCCACGATTCACCCCCATCTATTGTCTATCACCCTCCTGGCCACCCCACCATTGCTTTACCTTTGTCTCTGTCTTTGTTGGTGCCCGCCATTGATCAAGCCGTCAACATCATCAATACTTCCACCACTGCACTTTCCCCTGACATACAGAATAAACTTAATAAATAACAAAAGACCATTACTTTTAACACTGTCTACCCCACACCCACTCATCTCTTTGACTCTACCATTGATGCTGGTGATTCTTTGCCCATGCTTGTTTCCCCTTGCCACTTCAGGCGAGACATTAATGACACCCTTGACAAACATGATTCTTTATCCCAGCACAATATCCAACAACCTACTCTAAGCCATGTTCCCTTGGTCCACATGGCCCTTAAATACTTTAACCATCTTCCTCATAAACTCTCCAACTACCACTACAACGCATCTGTCCACCCGGCTCTCAATAATACACCCTTAATTTTAAACAGCAGGAGTGACGCCCAGGCCATATCCGCACAATTACCACCCAAAGAAAACCTCAGACAGAAGACAGACTGAAACTCCTTCCTAACCAGTATTGCCAAAGCTACCACAACAACAAGAAACATTTTCGGTACCAAACATAGCCTGCAACCAATTAGCAATTCAATCAAGAATTTCAAACAAACTTATCAATGTCCATATTTTAAGAATGAAACCATAATTTCAACCGACAAGCTCAGTCTAACAAGAGGGATGTTAGAAGCAGATGCTCTAACAGTCACAACACCTACGTAGCTAAATCTATCTATTATAACTATCTTAACATATCATATTCTCACACTACTTATATAATCCCCAAATATCAATTATTGGGATTATCCTCAATAGTAACATTCACTGGAGAAATGACCCTGAATACCCTTGTGTGAAGGTTCATGGTTACATGTGGATATTTAGAGCAATTTTTCATCTCAGCATGTTTTTTGGTGTACATATTCATAAAGTCATGTTGTAATTCTCTATTGGCTCGGATATAATAACTATCCAAGTTATTTTATCATTATTATTATTATTATTATCAAGGGGTGAGGATTTCTAAAGATTTCTCTGGACATTCATTTTTAATGACCGACACTGGAATAACAGCCAATATCTTAGGTTCCCACCCAAAATAATTATTTCTTTTCAATGAAGGTCACCACGATTATTTTTTCCATAAGTTATATGCAGCCTAATAAAACTTTATTAAAAATTTGGTTTTTTTACACACATCTAAAAAATTATCATTATATTTTTATATATGTTCTTTAACATATTGATGAAGAAGCAGGTTTCTTTTATTAAGTACTTGTCTTGTTTCTCATATATAAGTGCAGCAATATCTTAATGTCGGAATTTCTCTTAGTCACCTACACACCCACTGAGATTTTTTTAAACTCAATGTCCAAGCTAGATTTAAAGTTGGCCTGACTAAAATTTCCTAAAGCGGAATATGAAGTGTCCGCTCGAATTTACCGTGAATGGAAAAAAGGATGGATACAAAAAATCTGAAAAATGGGGGGTCTAATAATTGCAATTATAGAGTTTCAAAAAATGTTTAAAAAAAAAATGTTTCAAATTTTTTTTTTTATTTTGGTTTCAATAAAAAATAGTACTAGGATTACGCGTTCTATATACTAGTAGCTAGTCTAGTGTAGCAGCCTCTCTTATGCAATAGATTGGGAGATAGACATGGTAAAAGTAAAGAAGAACGACTATTAAACAGAAACAGTATTAGTGTTATGACCTTTGAAGTAAATAATATAGTAAATTACCTTTTTATACTAGACAGACAGTGATATATGAGACTTACCTAAAGAGATGAGGGTAAAGTTATTAACAAAAGTAAAGGAAAAGACTGCTTGTTTAGTTATGTTAGGAGTAGATACCCTATAATACCACGACAGACAGCTTGGCATAGTTTGAAGTAACTTCCTAATACAATCTCATGTTGGAATCTCCATAGAATCTAATAAAAAATATATATTAGTATCAATATGAAGTAGGGCATAATAAATATATTACTTACTGAGGGTGTTCGGTATGATGGACGCTATCATCTTGTTAGATTACGTTTGAAACTTACTTTTCAGTCATGAGAAAAAAAAAGAAAAAGAAGGAAACAAGTAAACAAAAAAAAATTAGCTCACATTATTTCACATGATTTTTTTAGCAGTCATTTTTTGCATGATTAAAGATATGGTACCTCGAATTAGTTTATGCTTTTCTACATCTTTCGTTCCAAAGATTTTTAAACATGGAAAATCACTTCACAACAAAGAGGAACACATTCCTCACACCGACGGCTACAGACAACCGAACATTTGTGTGCACCGTCTGCGAAACCGAAAGAGTGTTAGGGTCCTTGCAAGGCCTCAGAAGACATTATACAAAAAAACATCCAAACGAAATGGGGGAGTATGAGAAACTTCTAAAAAGAAGGTAAGTTAATCCTAAAAGTAGGATGAAAAATACTATGTAATGTAAAGCTGAAATTGAGTATACCTTAACATTAGACCTGCTATGTTTGATGGCCCTTCTTCTTCTGCAAGCACTGCCACTGCCACTACCAACCTGAACAGTAATAATGAACCTGCCCCAATGGAATTTATTATTGAAAACCCTCAGGACACATATGGCCATGAAATCTCTGACGAAGACGAATATAGTGATGATCACATTCTATCGTAAGTAAAAATTAGTAATGCAATATTGAAATAGATAATAACCTGTTTTTTTTTGCTGAACAGTGATTCATCAGATGACTATGATGAGACCACTGATGACGAAGACACGGACACCAGAGTAGAATATGATAGCCAGGATCATATCGCTAGAATGGCAGCAGAAATGAGAACCTTCCAATCTCTTTCTCATGCCATGAATGCCTACTCAAACGAAGACAGCAGCAGACAGACATTGTACCGGCCCGATGACTTTGCTGACATTTTTACTGGACCCACCCGTCCGTTTAAATCGAAAGTAGAGTTTATCTTACATGCTCTCTTCTACGGCAATGAAGATCTTGCCTCAGAAAGATCTATCAAGAAGATAATGTTTGCCATGAAGATGGTCTTGGACGTCCGTGAAGAATCTGGAGTAGCACTAGATTTTCCGACACCAAATGCTGTGATTAACTATCACAAGCAGAAAAAGAACCAGATCCCTGTTTTTCCTACTGCCAGTTTCGATGTTGTGAACCAAGACAATGAACGACATGTACTTTGGATGAACAAACCGTCCGATTACATCAAGTTTACCATGACATGTCCTGGAAAATCATCTCAAATCTCGGCCCTTCCTGACTTCACAGAAAACCAGTGGTTGAATCTCAACCAAGGCGAAAAGTGGAAGGAGAACCCATTGCTCCAGCACCCGATGATCACTTCAAACAGAATGGACTACTGGGTGGGTGATGTTGTCAAAGTCCAAGGCTCCCCGAACTGGTATCTCCTTGAGAAGTTCTTCACCAAGGATGGATCAATACTTGCCAATGCGTTCCAGGTTTATGGTGGCCACGATCCTCGGCTGAACCATCCTGATGATACACACTTCCTGCGGTTTGGAAACTCTACGAACTTTGCTGTCTCTACCCTGAAGTATACCATTGAAGTTGATAGGATTATGTCTACTGTTCAAAAAGACAGTGATCTTTTCCTCGGACGTGGTTTCTCTGTTTCTTATTGCCCTGCCAAAATTGTCACCTATGCTCTTACTGGTGTTCAATCTGACTTGTGGCTCAACAAATCCCGTGTTGAAGAATTCAAGAGAAGACACTGCAAAAAAAATGCCCGATTCCCATACGTGATAGGATGTAAAATTCTGTGTGATTTTTGAAATACATTCCGAATATTATACAACAATTCTCAGAATGATAGGAAAACTAGCTACTAAATATTAAACACCTAGATTCTATGGATAGAATGGGTCTGTGCGCGGTCATAGAGTTCTGTTATATCTCATTATATCCGAAACCTTAATTGAATTCCAAGTTTTTTTTTTCTAGTAAAACGTTACATTTATTTTGTGTATTGCCTATTTATTCTTGTTTCGGACTCATTCAAGAAGGTGTATATTTCAACAATCTTCTGATGATAGCTCAACTATCTTCTGGCAAGTATCAATCTTATTGGACGGGTACTCCATTTACAATTTGAATTTCATTATTTGATTGATCAAAAAATATACTTCTTGTACTTTTATTTAAAAATAGTTCATGGGAAATAGTTTACAAATGGGTTTTTATTTTATTTTATTAAAAAAATCTCAAAATAGGTTCTCTAATAATCGGCCTTGGATAGTTGGCATTTGGTCTGGGCATTTGATCCAGACATTTGACATTGGGTCTTTGTTTTGCATTCTCGGTTTTGGGTTCTTGATTTTGGGTACTGCGATTCTACTTTGATCATTAATAATATCTCTTACCTTTCGGGATAAATAAATGGGAATACTGCAATACCTCTTTGAATATTAAGGGAAGGGGCAGAATCTTGGGATGACCAAAATCGATTTTGTCATTTTCAAAACATGTGTGTACAGACCAGATTTATTCTTTGGAAATAGAGGATCATATTGCTACGGATAGCATTTATATAATTGTTGATGTACTCCAAGTATTCCTAATAGAAAGGGAAAAAATATGATTAGTATGAGAGAATAATAATTATAAAGTCTTTCTTACCAGAAAAAGTGATTCTTTGGCATCCTTTTAATGCGTGCGTGCAAAAGAGAGATAGAGAAAATCTAATAAATTCAAAATGATAATGAAGAAAGTATAACGTTAATATAAGTGATTAGAAGATATTCTATTAAAGCTTACCATGTTTATTTTCATCATTAGCTTTTGATGGTTGTCATCATCATTGTTTTGCATCTAAAGATTAATAAGCTGATGATTAGCATCGCGCAATAAAAGTTGTTTGCTTTCTTATTCACCTTTGTAAGCCAGTGTGTTATGTTAACTCGTGCAGGAAGCCCTACATAATAAAGACGATAGAAGTTTTTTAGTGTTAATAATCATGTAAAATAAAGTAAAAAGAAAATATTAAGTATTTACCATAGTGTAGAAAAAGAAGCAAAAGTAAACAGTATAAGAGAAAGAGAGAGAACAAAAAAAAAGAAAATAAAAAAAAAGAAAAATAAAAAAACAAATTGTAAGAGTAGTGAATAAGCTCATTCTGTTCTCAGAATTTATTAGGGTCTATTATAATTTAAAACGTGTGTCCCTATAATTTTTTCTTTTGTTGCTGTACACCCAAGAAGTATTGGGACATATAAATACTACTTCTATTTGCCAGATTATTATATCCTCCCTCACATTTTATTAGAAACCTCACATACTATTACTGTGCTTTACCATGTATGTTTGTATAATTAAAATAATATTTCATAATATTCTTCTATATATGCTTTATTTATTTATATTTATTTATTTTTTAAAAAATATGTAAATATCTGTAGCATGCCTTCCAATGCCACTAGAAAATCAGGACGCAAAGGCAAACAGAATGCCCAAGGAACACTTAACCGTGTTGCTGCCGGCCGGATTGAGCAACGTGAGATTGCTCCAAGAGTATCGCCACTTGCAGCTGGTCCAAGTGGGGCAGAGGCTCCTGGAATGACTGTCGAGTCCCTAACGCAGGTTATGGCAGCCATCAACATGATGTACGATTGTACTGTCGAAGCCAACACTGGAATTCGTTTTCCGGTCGATGCTCACAACCAAGCCATTCCCCAGCAAGCTCTTGTTGCATCTTCTGTAACTCAGGGAGTAACTGCTGCCAATGTGTCTACAAATAGACACACCAAAGGCGAAATGCATGCAATTGTTCTGGTATGATTTTTTCTGACTTCATGCTTTAACACACTACCTAAATAATAATAATAATAATCATATAGAATCTCATCAATGGGAGAATGTGGGCGAGAAACTTCCGTTCGAATGATCCTGAGCTTGTTGCTGAAAACAAAAGCCGCAGGCGATGGAACATGGATGAGAGGATCGATCATCCTGACAATGTTGAGGTGATTAATTACCTCCGACAGTATATCGTTGCCCAGCCTCGCACAGCTGGGTTCTGGGAGGATATGATAGTGCAGAAAATAAAAAACAATTACAAGACATGTTTTCGTGCTGTCAACGCAACCCCCGAGCAAGTGTCTTCCAAAAGGCGCAATAATCGTATCAACAGCCGTCGCATTGAGGTAAAATTACAAACAAAAAAAAGAAATTAAATATTTTGCATTCTGTTCTAATCATTTTAAAATATATCTAGATTCACTTGCGTCGTGTTGATACCTACATTAACAATTGGCTAGCAATTGACACTAAGATGGGATACAAGCCAGGTAACCCTGATGAGATGGCATACTTGCATCTCCTCGAGAAGAGTGTGATGTCTGATGGTGAATCGGAAGATGAGGACGTCACTCCTATAATCCATGTGTGGGTTTTGCAGGTTGCTCGTCCTAGTTGGAGAAGTGCTGAGGTAATTTTTTTTAAAGGTGTACACTATAATATATTTCTATAAAAAGATGACTGTACAGAAATAAACTAACTAATTATACATAGCTGAATAGGCTTATTCAGTTCATTGATTTCTTGGCAGCAGAGAATGACAAGAAGATTGTAACACCACAATCAAAGCAAAGAATGCCCAGATACCTAAAAACCATTGTGGTCACTCCTGTCCCCGGTCACCTGACTGCGATCCTTCCTGTCTGGGCAATTCAAAACCAATAAAAACAAACAATTTGCTCTCTTCTTTTTTCACTGTCATATTAAAAAAATTGAATAATATTATTAGAAAGAAAAGAAGGGATAATTATATATTTTAAAAGTAAAGTTTTCTAGGCAAAGGAACAATAAGTTTTTTGCTGATATTTCGTAATGTTGTATGGTCAACAATTGCAACAGGAAGGAGAATTCGGTGCACTGGCAAGATGCTTTGAAAGTCAGGCAAAGAAAACGCGACATCCCATATTTCTACGCCTGCAATTTTTCTACTTGTCTCCTTGGAAGCCTTGTACCATTTTACATAAGCAAATGTATGTTGGCTACTTTGGGGTGTTCTGTGATGTGGAGTAGAAACAAGTGGACTAAATGAATGAACAAATAGGTACTGAATCTCTCTGACATACGCATACTTTGCTTCGTTTCGACCTTCTATGAACATTGCTTGTATATATGATCCTCTTCCATTCGTACCTCTACTTCCCTTGAATGTCTGTCCAAGGAGGTTGACGGATTTGAGCATTTCGATCCAGTCATTGACGAAAGCTGTATCTTGAATCACGTCTTTGCAACTGGAGATGGTGGGATCGTTGTAAACAGCTTGGTAATATCCTACCAAACAATCATACTCCTGTCTTGGCATCATCTCATATGCTTTTTTTTGCAAGGGCAGCGCTGATGGTGGCAAAGGCTCGTTACCACGAATTGACAAGTTCGGATTTTTGGCAGCATCAAGAAAGTCTGGTAGAGAGAACCAATTGTACAAGGCGGTGCTAGTTGTAGAATCAGCAGGACTATAACCAGTTACCAATTTATCGAAGATGCTGGAGAAATTGAATGGACCAGATGTCTTCAAGAAATTGCGAACAAAATCGCCTTTACGGGTATCTTCAATGAATGTTTTCATGTATGTCATTTCAAAGCCGCTCCTTCTGTTGGTATTGATATTCTTTAGGACGCTGTTGTATCGCTCGAAACTAAAGAGCCAGTACCCATAAACAGGCCCAGAGTCCTTGATTGTGTCGCAAAGATGAAGATGGAGATGCATGTTTGGAGATAACAGATCCTTGCTATACAGCCTTTCACAACCTTTACTGAACTTCTCAAGTGCTATGTGTGCTGACTGTACATCATCTTTGGAAACATTTGGCTTGGTAAGGAAACGGCAGGCATTCACAAAAAACATCCAATTCTCAAACTTTTGCTTTGGTAGTACGCCTTGTAGAACCACTGGAGAGTATACCAGACACCACGATTTCCACTCGTCTGCCTTCATAAAGGGAAATCCCTTTGAAATCTTTGATCTTAGCATGGTGTAATCAGGCGGCAATGTCATGTTTTCAACGATTTTCTGCATGGCAACGAGTTTTTTATTGTCAATTAGACCATCTGCAACCCATTTCTCCATCATCCTCTTGGCTGTGCCTAAGAAGAGATTGTGCATTGGATCAATGATCGTGCAGCGGACAACGTCAAAGTACTGGAGACGATGCAGTTCGGACCAGCGAACACCATTTTCAACTTCAAGACGATGTCTCTCAGCTTCAGTGGTTGCATTCCTCCAGACCTCAGCATCCTTACAATTATCATTCTTAGTGCGAAGGAGCCACTTTGAGAAATCAAATCCAGAATAATCGACAGAGCTCGTTCCAGCTAATTGGGAGAATTGACAATTACATTTGTGGCATGCGTTTGTACTGGTATGGGACGTGAATCCACACACTTTTTGGGCAGCAGGGATGTCGCAGGCAACCATAAACAGAGCAGCGCGGATGGTGGTACCATTTGGGCATTGATATGTCTGGACTCTGACTCCCTTGTACAACTTTTCTAATTTGTCAACCAGAGGTCTGAGGTACGAATTTATCTCGGATGTTTTTGCTTCTTTTGGACCTGGCATTAACCGTATCTCCTTATTTTATCCTACGGAGAGTTTGAATTAGTATTTAATTTAGTCCTGTGGCTTTCTAACTTTAATGGCAGACAGTGGCTTTTGCATCCCACACATGGCATTTTTTTTTAACAAATAATCACTTCCCTCTTTCTTAAAAACAAACTTCAATTATGTCTAACAACAATATAAACAACACTATTTATGATATTTCCACCATTCAACAAGTCTTGATCAACTCGCCTTTGGAAGGAATCAAGATGCTTCCTTTGAATTCGACAATATTAGTAAAAGCTAGTGAATGGGAAAAGTGTCTGGAGCGAATCAATGTCTTATGCTCAACAAAATGGAATAAAAAGCATAAATATTCTGGAAAAGGTTTAGTTTTTGGAGAGACTAAAAAATGCCACCGTGCTGGCCAATATATAACAAACCGCCAATTACGTCTTGCCCAGAAAGATACGAAGGCATGCTCTTGTACAGCTGCCTTAAAAATCATACAGCATCTCGACAACCCCAATGTTGTTACATTTTGCCAAACAAGGGCACATGTAAACCATGTTCCTGGAGACTGGGACGAAGTCAGAACTCTTCCTTTGCCTTCTGAAGCCATAAAGATTATTGAAGATCAGTTGAAAAGTGGCAGCAGCTGTAGAAGTACAAGAATTTCAGTTCTTAGACAGATTGATAGTTGGGGAGTTGGCGTTAGAAAGCCTAATTATGAAGAAATTTACAACAGAATGAGAAAGGTTTGTCAATGAATATAACAGAGCTTTCGTATTAAATTAATATTTATATATCAAATAAATACTCGTATATAAAATAGATGACTACTTTGTTATATATGTTTGCTTCTGATGAAAATGCATCTATTTCCATCTGGTTAAATGTAAAGCTAGCAGAACAAAACTATTGCATTTTTGAAATCAATCTTTCTGTTTATAATGACGGTAAAAAACAATTTGCCTTTGGATTTCAATCACCAATGCAAGTTTCAATCATGAGAATCTCGCAATCTTTTTGTCTCGATGCCACCCATTCCATTTCGTCCAGAAGCGACGAAGTATTATATACTTTGGTCACTCGCCATCCTCAAACAGGAAAGGGATTCCCTGTTGCATACATGGTGACAAACAACCAGACAGCCATACCCATCAAACTTTGGCTTGACCACCTTCGCATCAAGAGCAGCTTCGTACCAATGAATATTACCATTGACTGTAGCATTATGGAGGTTAATGCAATCAAAGAAGCATTACCTCATGCTACAATTCACTACTGTGATTTTCATGTTCTTCGCGCTTGGCAGCACAACCTTGACAGCAAGATTAAACTTAATGCCTCTTATACATCAGAACAACTTGGGAATTATAAGACTGCACTGAAGAACTACCTGAGACACATTCTCATCGAGTCAAACGAAGACGTGTTCCTAAGAGCAATTGAAGATTTTAAACTGATGGTTCAGGATCAACCTCAGTTTTTGAAATATTTTGAGAAGAAATGGACCGAGAACGAAGAATTGTTGCGAAGATGGGGGCGCCCGTACATTAGCCAACAACATCAGAGATATGTGACAAACAACTATGTAGAATCATGGCACAATCAACTCAAGACAATCTACTTTGGTCGTGCACGCATCAGAAGATTGGATCGACTAATTTTTATCTTGACAAATGATGTGGAGTTCTATTTTGAACAAGAGGTTGAGCGTATTCACTTCAACAATGGTAAGATGGGTCCCATTGATAATGAGTTAGCAAGAAATTCTTTTGTTGCTTCAAAAATCCAAAATGACATGCTCCCTTCCATGATTCTCAACCCTTTGGGTGAGACTGGTAACAGCATGGATGATTATAATGGTGAGTGGCAAATAAGATCTTTCGTAACAGAAGATAAGTGGTATACCGTCAATATATCAAATGACTTGATACAAAGCTGCACCTGCCCGAACTTTCTGACCCGCCAGATCCCATGCAAGCATTCACATTTGTTGAAGCGTTACTGTGGGGCAAAATTCAGCTTCATCGAGCAACGGGAGATAGCAGGAGTGGTATTGAACCGACAAGACGCTGTAAATGCAAACGAGAACGAAGTTGAGGAAGAAGTAGAGGAGGAATTAGAGAGTGGAGGTACTGCTGAAGATAGAGGTGTATATGTCTTTGACGAAATTGCAGCTTATTCTGCAACGATGCATCACGGCTTTGAAGATCTTCAAACTTTGAAGACAATTCCTGGCTTAGATCAAACAAAGGCAGATCTTATAAAAAGAGCACTCGCAGATGCTGTGAGGTTGATGGATGAATATAGAAGTGAGAACCCTTCATATTTTAGAAACTTGAATACTCAGAGATAATAATAAAAATAATAAATATATATCATTAAAAGATCTTAAAAGTACAAGAAAAAATATTTCTGATTGATATAAACAAATACAATTCTAATTGAATTTACCAAAAGTAAAACCTGTCACTACCTCAACGGATTTTCAAAATTCAAACTCTCCGTAGGATAAAATAAGGAGATACCATTAACCCAACGAGAATGACATTTTCTTTCTTGAATCTTATACTTCGAGGAAGATTGTTTACAGCCAGGTAAATTGCACCACACGAATATGTCACACCGTCGAATGGCTGGAACCAGTCAATGTTTAAGGTCAACATCAGTGAGCGGTTGCCATGAACAAAGGGAATTCCATTGGTGTCTTTCAAATCCTTCCACATCAAGCCATCTTACACATCGAACATAGTATTCTCAGCCTTCAGGCTACGGTTCCACGAGTCGATTTGGGTTTCAAAATCAGGCCGAGAAAAGAGAGCTTTGATCGAATTCTGAACAGAGTGATACACATATGTTCTTTTTGGAATGGACGACTGATTTCCCGACTTGAACAAACTATTACCGCACATTGAGTTATTCCCAAATTTATCAAAGATACAGAAGCGGGGTGTTGATTCATTGTTCTCATATATGCTGTGACATTCGCTACAAGAAACATATTTCTTTATACCGTCTGTAAAGGTATTGAATCCTGCCATGCTTTTGAGACCAGGGATGCTAACTGGGAGACGGAATGGATCTCTGAAAAGCTCGAGTATTTTGTTCATGATGGCAATGAGAAGAATGGCGCCTTCATCGATGACGTACAAGGATACAAATAGTGCAAGGACCTGTATGATAAAACGATGGATGAAACTCAATTCTGAGTTGAATTCAGGAAAGTTGTCTTTTTTAAAAAAAATTAATTTCTATTATTTTATACAGCAGAACCCAATATCCATTATGAAAGTGTGCAAACCTTCACTATCAAGCATGTCATCCTCACTGGAATCGTCTTCGCAACCGTCAGAATCAAGATCAGAGTTAAACTCTTCATTCTCATAACCAAAGACAGTATCGGATTCTGAGAGAGATAAGACTCGAATAGGCTCTTGTGTCTCAATGTCTACTTCTATACTGGTGTCCATTTCTACCGGAACCATAAAAGAAGTTAGAGCAAATAAAAATAAAAATAAAAATATATATTTTTACCATCAAAGTCATAATCCATATCATAATCATTGTCTATGGCCACCGAGTTCTGTTCATCATTGTTGATAACTTCAGGAACATAGCTTACAGTAGTTTCGACTGATCTCTTAATAATCACTACATTACATATGTTATTAAATCGAAAATATAAATATAAATATAATTAAAACATAAAAGAAAATTCCCTACATCTATTACGAAAGATGTTCATTCCAGCATTGTCTCTTCTTTTATGAAAATTAAATGTCTGTACAGACACTGTATCTGATCCTCCGAATCTTGTCTTGCAAACAGAACATTTGCATTCTTTTGTTTTGTTTGATTTACGGGTTGGTGCCATTGCTTAATAATTATTAAAATAATATTATTTTTTAAACAGTAAAGAAGATAAATATATATTCAGGTACAGTTTATTTCATTCAATTTAAGTTTATTATTGTATTTTTTTATGCTACTCGGTGCTCTATGACCAATAGAATCGTTTTAAAAAAATTGCAATGCTTATTCTACAAAAAAAATCCTGCACTACAAATTTGGGTTTTCTGTCCACCGAATTTTACATCCCATCACGTATGGGAATCGGGCATTTTTTTGCAGTGAGACTTCCAGGCTCTGGTTTGATGAAAGTGGTTGTCTGCCCACTTAATCTCTATTCCGACGATACCTCCGGTAATTCAACAAAGCAGTACAACAAGTATGACAGTTACTTAATGTACTTTGCTGCGTTGCTACTTGAGACGAGAAACAAACGAGAAAATGCTCTTTTCATTTGTACCTCGAATCATACACTGAATGCCGTTGAGATGTTGCCCCCTATTGTCAATGACCTCATTAGGCTGGAGAAAGGTATTGAGATGTATTCTGATGATCATGGTGAAGTAGTTCTTGTCGTTGCGCCCCTGTTGCTCTTTATGAGTGACAACCCTCATCAATCTCAGCTTGCCATGCATAAGGGAACATCTGCCAAGAAGTTTTGCCGAAAATGCCTCATACCTTCGCCTCGTATTGAACAGGGTTCCATCCCTGACGCTCCGCCATATTCTCCAGTTGACCACTGTGGGTCAGAAGAAAGAACGAGGGATTTCTTGTGCGCCTTTGCCAATGCCGATTCCCAGTCAGAGCTATATCTCAATGGGTGCGAATTGAGTTATATCAAGAATGGAAGTGAGGAATTTCTTAGATTCGAAGCCTTTGACCCTACCAAAGACATGCCTGTCAAAATTCTCCACATTATTCCTCTTGGCCTGACGAAATACTTGATGACTTTTCTCTGGAAACAGAAGATGCTGACTACAAGTGAAAAGGGGAGACTCCAGGAAGCTCTAAACTCTTACAAGTCTTGTAAGAGTTACAGCCGAACATTCAGGAACAAGCTTCACCACACTGGTTTGTTCATTGGACGCGATTTCAAGGAATTGATTCAAGTCCTGCCTGGAATTATGAGCAAGCTCTTTAGTGACAAACAATTGGGAAGTTTGTTCATTAAAGCCTTGCATGCATTAGGCCGCCTGTCGTCTTTGGTGTACATGCGTGGAGTCAACCGGTGCTTCGACTACTATATTGCCCAGATAAAACACGCTGTCACTGATGTAACGGATCTGCTTTTTCAACTGGATGTCCAGATTCTCCAAAAAGGATTTTCTAAGCAAGACTTCACGTTCAAGCCAAAGGTCCACCTTCTGCATCATATCACTGACGACATTGTTCATTTCGGTTCCGTGCTGCAATACGAAACTGAAAACAGTGAACAGTTCAATAAGTTCATCCGCGAACATTTATTCAAGACCAACCGCCATTCCACCTCTCGAGACGTCACTACAAGATTCGGCAAGCAATTCATCTGTCGGCATCTTTGTAATGGAGGATCGTATGTCGTAGAGAAACCAGCTGGTAATGGAACAAGATCTGTGAGAAGTTCAATTGGTGATTTTGTCAAGCTAGCCCCTGTCAATTTCCCAGGCTTTTATCTCCATTTCTTTGGTTCTCGTGTCAACAGTGACAGTTCCGGGTTGTCGACTCCCACTTTGTGCGATACACTTGCAGGTGTTTTTCAATCAAATGGTCAATTATTCCTTGGTCAGGTAAAGATCGTTCAAGCAAGAGACTCTGCAGACAGAATGAGGAAGGCGTTCTTTATGCAAAAGTACCAAATTGTTCTGAACAGCAATGTAAATTGCATCTATACCCCAGCCGTGGTAACAGAAAATTACAACAACATTGTGGTTCTGCCCCTTGGAGGCCTGGTTGAAGTCAACAAAGATGACATCAACATCGTTCAGGCTGTTGATATTCACTTGTCCGTCGGGTCTTCCAATAACCAAAAGTTCCTCAACGTTGCAAAATTCGGCATGTTCTGGTGGATGTTGATGAACATTGCAAAAATCTATTAAAAAAAATGACTTATCAAAAAAAAAAGTATTTTTCCCAATGGGGTTCGTCCAATAAAATCTCTTCTTTTCCAGCTCTCTTCCCTTCTCCCCCCATTTCAGATTTTTGTACCATCTAAAATTTTATCATGACACTTAAAACATTACACTAATCCACTTTTGGCTCATTTATATCAAATTCGTACACCCAAATCTGAGCCTTAACAGGTTCAACTTAAAATTGGAACTCTAAACCAATAGAAACAGCTGTACCGTTAGAAATTACCACAAATGAAAGAAATGTCAGTAGGTGTGTATTACTAAGCATAATAAATTACAATGAATTTTCTAGCAAGACATTAATATAAGTAGCATGTAAAAGTGCTACCTTTTCATCTTTCCAGATCTTTTAATATATACTCAAAATGAACCCAAACGCTCCTAGCTATTCCGCCACAACTTCTGATGTGAATGTTAGAATGATGGAGGTCCAGGTGTCTACTTCTCGCGAAGCTGAAGTTAACAGACCAGAGAACACAAAGAGAAGCTATGCTTCTAAGCAAAAAGAGTATAAAGATTGGTGTGATGAAGCTTTCTCGAGCATTCCCCTCAAAAATCGCTACACTGTATATGGAGATAAGCTCCATTTGTTTCTTAAAGACTGTGTAAGTTTTTTGCTGTTGTTTGGAGATATATTTTGTAAGTAATTGAATTAATTATCTTTTCTTCTGTTAGGTTGTCAACCGAACCCACAGAAGAGACACTGGAAAAACCATCAAGTATGGAACTGCAATGGCCTATCTTGCTGCTATTGTGGATATGTATCAGAAGCAAGTTAAAGTCGGTGTGAACAACCACTCTCACCCTCGCAAGGCTTGTATACAGCTGTTGGACAACATGAAGTTCAATGATGAGCGTGCCTGTCATGCTGAAAACCAGGACCATGGCCTTGGAACTCTGGTGAATGGATACACCACAGAGAACGAGATTGCTAGCATTGTTAGCTATTATTTCTCAAGATCAAGCAGAGGTGACCTGAGAAATGCAGTGTCTTTTCTCCTGTCGCATTTTTGTATGCTCCATGGCGAATCTGCAAGAAAAGCCGAATTCGCTGACCTTCAGACAGTCATATTGGATCGTGAAGGACCTTCCGAATGCCCTGCCTTTGTCTTGGTCTTGAAGCAGGGAAAGACGAACCAGTTCGGACGAATTGAGCTTGCAGCCTGCTTGAGAAATTCCAAGGTTGAGATTTGTTCATTCATGGCACTCAGATGCTATTTCTTCTGGAGATGGCATATTGATGGTGAGCAGTTTCCATCTTTTGAAACATCTGACGAATGGTTCAACCATAAGTTGCTACGATCTGGGCAGGAACCAACCAGGGAAATGCCTTACTCCACTCATCTTGAAGCAATCAACAGGGCATTCAAGGCCTGTGGAATCGTTTTCACAGCAAAGACCTATGCTGCCTGTGGATCATCAGCAAGAATGGCTGACATGAGTGGTGCCAACGAGTTGGATATCAGAAGGCAGGGTCGCTGGAATAGCAGCACAATGAATGGTGCATACCTCACCAATCTTCCGAGAGGTGCGATGCGTACTATGGCTGGATTTTCGTCAGCTGAGGGGCAGTTCTACTTGCCAAGAGCCCAAGTGAAACCAGCCGAGTCACTCCAGCACAAGGTTTTCCCAATGGTAAACTTTTGGTATGACAGGATTTCGTCAGGAGCATACCAGCAAACCACAGCTGCACATGGGTTTCTGGAGCTTCTGAAACAATTAAGAATCACTTTTCTACAGGATTCTATGTTAATGATGAGCAAAACTCCAGGGCACCCATTGTGGCAGCACGGTGTATTCCATGATCCTGAATACATCGAGTTCAAGAGTTAAAAAAAAACTAATATATAATACAGTGAAAAAAATAGTTCTAATATATTTACATGTCAATGTTTTAGATCAGTCAAGGCTTTTGTGGAGACAGATGTCGAGCCTACTGACATCTTTTTGCAGAGAGCACTTCCTCTGGTGGCCAGAAAGTTGGCTGACATGCAGAATGCAGACAGCAGGTTTCGCAGAAAAGTTCTGCGGGAGTTTGGTGTTCTTCACCAGAAGATTGACGACTTGGTATCTGGGAGAATCCCTCTTTGGTCCCTTCAAGAAGATGGAGGGGAAAGAGGTAGAGCTAGATCAACAGAGGTCCAAGCACTTCCAGTCCCGGCCAACAACTCTGGACCAATTTCCCAGCTGCCAGACATACCTGTTCGGTATAGAATGAGCAGAGGTGTGCAGATGGTGCCTGACTTGTGGAGAGAATGACATGTGGGACTCTCTGGCTGTGTCTCCGTACACGAGATGGAGACGAGGTACGGCATTGCTTGGAGAAACAATGATCAACAGTTCTTCAATAGACGTAAAAGAATTGTCAATTGTATTAAAGAATATATGGTTGACAATTCTGTAAGTGAAGAAACAGCAGTCAAACTTGCAGAAGAAAACCGAAGAAGAAGACAAAGAACTCTGAACTTTTTGTCTAAAAATTCAACCCAAATCTTTCAATGATTGTAAAAATAAAAAAAATATATATATTGTTTCTTTTTATGATATTCAGTTAATGCTGCTATTAAGTAATTTAATAGCTTCCCATTATTTTCTGGTACCATCCTTGCTATATTCTACTTTATTAGATCAAACAGCTATATGTAATTAAACATATACTTAAAGAATAATACTTTATCCAATTCAATATCAGCTTTTTGATAAATATAAGAGAAATATAGATACTTTTAAAGCTTCTACTCACATTCATATATATATATATATATATTTATAAGAATTTGAAAGAATCTCTTGTATGTAAAGAAATATTTTGTTTTGATCATTTTTTTGTAATGAGCAGCATATTTTTTTGGTGAAAATTACCTATAAAATTCGGTGTTCTAATGATTTTTTATTTTAAACAAGTCACTGGTTGACTTGTCGTCTGAGTCTGTAACCCCACTAAAAGCTCTGTGATAACTCCTTAGTATAAAGTTTGAACAAATAAAGTAAATGTAACACTTGTTTCCCTTTTATCTTAACATTTATAACAAAATAAACACCATGTCCTTTACTTCTGAACTTTATAATAAGAAGTGCTATTGCACAAAATGCAGCGATAATCAACAAGGCTACAGCTTTGTTTCTATACGAACCCTCTAGCATCACAATAAAAGAGCAAGATATGAAGACATGAAAAGAAGTGAAAGAAGTATGTTTTGTTTTTCATTTTTATTTTCATTTTGGTTATTTTATATAATGTTTTATTTCAATAGATGTATCTGTTCAAAGAAATCTCATGGATATTGATTTTGAAAGTAAGAAATGTTAATTGTGATAAAAAGAGAAGTAAACTAAAAATTGAATTCTATATGTAGCTACATCAAACCAACAAACCGGACCCATGGAAACAATGGGCGGTCAGACCAACTCACCTGTTTGGGAAGGGGCCGCAATTTCTGATAATGAGGTTGCTTTTAGCAATGAGTCAAATGGCAAAAGTAGTGATGGTGATGAAAATGACAATGACAAAGAAAGTAATGGCAGTGAAGAAAGTGAAGACGATGAAGAGAATATTGTTGAGATTGAAGTCTAAAAATTTGATACTGAAGGTTAGTCCGTGTTAATTAACTAATAAAAAAAAGACCCAAAAAAAATTCAAGGAAAAGAACCAAAAAAGAAAAATCTGAAAAAAGGGGGTGTTAATTTTTTTTGTTTTTTTTTACAGTAGATCCTATTGCCACCCCAAATATGCCTGAAAATCCGGTACACAGGTTCATTGCTACTTTTGTGGTAATGTGTGCTTCCCACTATGTGGTCAATAAGGGTGCTGTTGTCTTGATCGAGTTCATCAACAAGCTCTTATCAATTTACGAGCAGGATTTCCAATTGCCCGTGAGTCTTTCTGGCCCCCAAAGCATGACAGGATTCTCAGCCATGACAAAAGGGATTAAGAGATTTGTTGTGTGTCAGGATTGCCACAAGGTATATGAGGAAAGTGTACCTGCTCCTTTGAATTGTGATTTCGTAAAGCTTGGTGCACATACCACCTGTAATTGCAAATTAATGGTCCAATCATTGTCTGGTGGTTTGGTCGCAAAGAAGTCTTATATATATCAGTCTCTCACACGTGCTCTTAAAATTCTTTTCCTCCATCCCGATTTCGAGCAAAAGATCATGCACTGGAACCAAGAATTCAAGATCACTGATACATTGTGTGATGTTTACAATGGTGAAGCCTGGGCTGATTTGAAGGACAATGACAATGAAATTTTTGTTGAGCATCCTCGTTCATTGATGCTGACATTAAACATCAACTGGTTCCAGCCTTTCGATGGTACTAACTATTCCTGCAGTGCTATCTACCTGGTGATTAACAATCTGCCTAGAAGTGGGCGGTTTAAAGCAGAAAATACAATTCTTGTTGGCCTCATGCCTGGACCAAAAGAGCCAAAATCAGAAGAGATCAATCATTATCTCAAGCCATTAGTTGACGAAATGATACAGCTCTATCTTGGAATACAGATACCTACCTACCAGCAAACAGACGGTGCAACAGTTTGTGCAGCCTTATTGATGGTTGCAGGCAATATACCTGCTGCCAGAAAGACTAGTGAGTTCACTGTGCATAACAGCATATGCGCCTGTTACAAATGCAACAATTAATTTTCTCGTCTACCAGGCACCTTCTGTCGATTTCCGTGGGTTTGATTGGGACCAGTGGCACCATTGAAGTGATAGAGCAAACCGTGTGCATGCTGAGGAGTGGAATAGTGCGAGTACACCCTCAGAAAGGCAGCAGCTAAAGATCGAATATGGTGTTCGATGGTCACAGTTGTATTGCCTTAGATACTTTGATCTAGTACATGGAACGATCATTGATCCCATGCATAATCTTTTTCTGGGAACACCAAAGAGAATGATTGAAACATGGACAAAAATCAAGAAAATGAAAAACAATGATCTGCTTGCAATGCAGACAGTTGCAGCAACAATGATATTGCCCAGCAACTATACCAAGCTGAAAATGAAGATAGAAAAGGGCTTTTCTCACATGAAAGCAGATAAGTGGAAGTCTTGGGTATTGGTGTACTCTCCCATGCTTCTAAAACCAGTTCTTCCGTCCAATATGTTCAATGGCTGGATGCACTATGTAAAAGCATACCGTATACTTGTAAAGCCGTCAATCAGTTTCATCGAAATAGACCAAGCACACAGATATCTACAAGAATTCTGTCAATCTTGTGAAGATACATATGAACCAAAAGTCCTCACCTGCAACATGTACCTGCACCTCCATCTTCATGACACAATTTGTGATTTTGGACCCGTGTATGGCTATTGGCTCTTTGGTTTTGAGAGATACAATGGTTTGTTAAAGAATAACAAGACAAACAGAAAAGACAGGTTTGAAACAACCTATATAACAAAATTCACTGCAGACACATACAAAGCTGATTACGTACAAAATACATTATCATATCCAAGCCTCATTCCATTCCTTTCTCTTTTCGAAAAACTTACCTCTACGACCGCACCTATAACAACCTATGCCACTTATGCTCCAACCAACCAACAACCTTTCCAACTGCAACAATTTGTAGACTCATCCTTAAGTCGAGCAGCACCTATCAAAGGCAATGAACCACTTTTCCCGTCCACCTTTCCTTTACAGTCCTTAAAAGAATCAACAATGAGTGATATTGATTATTCTCAATTGTTAGATTATTATAAAATCGTCTATGTCATGCCCAATCTCATTTCTTACCACGATGTCAGATTGTCACAATATTTTGTAAATAACCGAATCACAAAATTGAAATCAATTGATCTTCTTGGCCAAACATATATTGGGAACAACAGTTCTGGTAAGCGTGGGTCACTCGTTCAAGCTTTCTTCCGTAGCAGCAATGGCGAAACTTCAAGCCTATATACCGGAAAAATTCAGTATCTTTTTATACATTCATTTACTCTGCCTCTTCATCCAAACCACCAAGCATCAACATTACATCAAGACCAGCATGTTTTTGCATACATACGATGGTATAATTTGACAAATGACAATGAACACAGAGATGAAGGTATTGCAATCTGCTTGCCAGAATTCTCCACTGATAATTATCACAGCATCTTGCCTGTACATTGCATACACTTAGAGGTTGCAACTGCTGTAGATGTAACTGATATGAATGAAGAAAGAATATTAGTCATTCCTATGCCAAAAAAATACTATGCCTGAAGCCTTTATGAATAATTATGCACTATGATTTTTTATGAGAATAATTAAATAAAAAACAAAGAACAAGTAATGCCTCTTTATGCATTTTTTTGGTTATTTAAAGTATAAGACGTTATGAATAAAGAAAAAAGAACAAAAAATATAAACTTTATTTAGGGCCCGTTTCTAAGAGCCTACTGAGGAAACTGTGACGCAATTGCATCAGAGACTGATCCTTCAACAGTTTCACCAAAAGCACGTGACAGCAATTGATGGCTATTTAAGCCTAAATCAGCTACCACTTTGTTGTCAACAAGTGTGATGAAGTGGTTGTACTATATTAAAAACATTAATATTTTATTCAGTATAATACAATATAATATATTAACTAAATTAAATATTTCAGCTTTAAAAAAAACTAATTATCTCATCACTTCTCCAACCTGGACGACAAAGACGAAGCCCACTATAAGAAACATGAGGCAAAGTGCCATCGTCTGACTCACCAACAGACATAGCCTCTTCTATAATGAGACCAGAGCAATCTCTTTTCATCTTGTCATCAATAGCAGTCTTGTTAGACTGGTATGCTGTTTTGCGACGTTTCAAGTGCTGTTGAAAATATTAAATTAGTTTTCTTTTTTTGCTTTAAATTAATGACTTAGATAAGAATTATTCAAATAATAAATAAATAAAGTATAACTTACCTCTTTTTCGCGGTTACTCCTTCTGTTGCAAGCATTGTCTGACTTCTTTTTAGCCTGAGATTTATTAGCTGCACGCTTTCTGCTAGTGAAGTTCGTGTAGACAAAGTCACGAACATCACTTTTTCTTAGTCCTGCTCCTACGAATTTTCTTTCCAAGTAGGCAACAAGGTTTTCTGTCAACTCAGTGTTTGGTGACTGGTTGAAGTTGACAGTCGTGTTCCACCTTGGCTTGCCATTGTTGGCTTGAATTTCAGCCAAATGTTTTGACTTAAACTTAGGGTCCCATAAATGCTCCCGAAGAAGTCTCTATTGAATCTTGGTAAGTTATTAAAGATATAATTTACTATATGTATGATACATACATAGGCTTTTGTTTTGTTGACTGATTTTGCATCAGAAGCCATGGTGGGAGAACCAGCTACATTCATTTCCATGCTCACAGGAGCAACAGCATGCACTAAAGCCATTGGCTGACTCTGCAAAACAGCAGATACAGGAGTGTTCAAAGTTTTTGCTTTGATATCAGCAACGTCTTTCATGACAGTGGTCATGTCACGACGCAAGATGGCAAGAGAGTTTGTCATCTCTCTCTCAGCAGGAGTGCGTCGAGTGGGATAGCTTTCATTTTGGTTAGACATATTCTATTAATTTAAAAATATAAGTTCAAATATGTATTAACTGTTAATGTTTTTATATTCTTTGAATAAATTTCTATTATACACTAAAATTATATTTATTATCAAACATACCAAAATAAAAGACAGAAAAAGATGGGGAGATAGAGAGAGAAAGTGTGAGTATAAGTAAGAATAATTGTAAGAGTGCGTGAGCAAGAGTGAGTAAGATTGTAGCAAAAACGTATATTTATATTTCCAAAAAAAAAAGATGTCTAGTCTTGATTGATCTTGATTAAAAGAATATATCTAAAGTAATTTCTTGTACACACACTGTGTAAATTGATACAAAGATTTCTTTTAGATACTACATCATTATATCTATTATGCTTTTTGAATATTTTTTTTGAGTTTCATTTTTTTAATTATCTTTTTTTCTTTTTTTGTATTTTATTTACTTATTTTTTTTTATTTTTCCATATTTTTCTATATTTTTCCTTATTGACCATTTTCTTTTCTTTTCTTTCTCTTTCTGATTTTTGTTATAACTGTGAGTTTTACTGGTAAGATACATTCTTTTTAAAAATACTTCTGTACAGACAACAACAAGATTAAAACATTCTGCTGGCATAGATACATATATACTCTCTTAGTGTTTTACTATATTCGCAAACTTTTTTGGTAACATATCTTCTTTTTTTTAAAACAATTCTTTTCTTCAAATGTAACCAAATAATAATTATTATTTCAGTTGTCATAGATACTAGCGTGTTTTTTCCTTCTGATGTATTCTCTTTAAAATGGCCATCTGAATTAGTCCAGGTTAGTAACTATACTTCATGTCATCATCCTATAAAATTATTCTGACTTTTCTCCTTCTTTTTTATAGACAATATTGCCAAAAATATTCCCTACAATTAAACAAGACCATCAATACGGTAATATTTTATTTTTTATTTACTTTTAATATTTATCTGACAGAATATAATTTTTATTACAAATGAATGTTCATCTGCCAAACACACAATGAATCAAGAATCTCTATCTCTTGGCGCCGTCATTGACATGGTAAGACTTCTTCTTTTATTCTCTTAAATCTATGGTAAAATAGATCAACGCACCCTTTTTTTTGCACAAAAGATAAAATAGACCGAGGTGCCTTAAGTATTTTTTATATATTTCTTGATTTATCAATAAATTACTAAGTAGAAATATTTGAAAAAATTCACAATTATAGGTATACTATATGGTTACAATGTGACAACTGTCTGTGACTGCTGAATTAAAATTGAGTGAATTAAAATTTATTTTGTTATTAATTTTAATAATAATATATTGTATTTTATTTATATTTTATATGATAAATTAAAATTTTACTGACTCAAAAAAATTAACAAAATCACAGTAACAGATATTATATAAAGATATAACGTGATAAAGTATTGTGACTGTCATTGGAGTTTTGATTGAATGAAAATTAGCTTTATAATAAAAATCTTAAAATTTGTTTTTTTATTTTTAATATATATAATATAAGTTAGTAAAAATTACTTTAAAAAATTATAAATATAATTTACATGTATTTATTTGTATACAGAAACTATTATTTTATTTTTTTAAAGTAAATTCTTTTCATCTATGTTTTTATATATGTCTTTTTAATAAATACAATAATAAAATATCAATAAAAACATGTTTGATATTTTTTATACTAAAATTCATGTATATAAAAAGAGTTAATAAGAAATAATACTTTTTATATTTGATATTTTTTAAGTTTCTTGAACATAAAATTTTTATTATATATATTAATGATATATATATACAGATTATATGAGACAGCTTCTCAATTTTTTTATATTTTTAAAAATAAATTAACATTTATTGTAAACTTTGTTTATTATTTAATTTATATATCAATTAATAAAAAAATACTGGCTGTATTAATAAGAAGTATTTTGAGATTTTATTTATCTGGTTTTACAAAAAATATGTTTTTTCTTTTAGTATTTGCTCTATGTATTGATGTAGATATTATATATTTATTTAAAATAATAATATAATAATATTATATAATGTTTGTTTTTTTTATTCTATATAATATATATTTAATTTATTATTTACACTCTTATTTAACTGATACATAACAGTAACTAAGATATCTGATTTTATGATTAGTTTTTTATTTTAATTTTTAATAGCTTAAAAAATAAGCTATAATATATATAAGTTTTTTATTTAATATTTATGTATCTTATTTTATACATATTCCATTTTAATAGATAATTATATAAGATATAGCAATATATATTACACAAGTAATATAAAACAACTTTAGATAATAGTGTTAATATTATTATTGTTTATATATTAATAATTTGAAAGCTTTTGCAGCTAAATTATATAATATTTTTAAATATTCTGAACTTGCCAGAAAAATAGAGATGTTTATAAGTTGCTATATTTGAAAATCAATATCGGAAATGAAACCAAAGTTATCTTTTTGAGAATCAAAATTATTTTAAAATTTGGAACATTTGTTTCAACTTCAATTTACAAGAGTTTTATTATTTTTTAATATTAAATAAAATAAATCTCATAGAGAATATATGTATATATGAATTTTCTATATTGTATATAAAATGTAGTAAATGTAAATATACTTTCATAAAAATACAACTTATTTATTTAATATATTATAAGGAAAATATGAGCAGAATATGTCAGGAAAGCTATGTGAGACATGATTTGTTCTTTTTTTTAGACCAGTAGTTTAGCACTTTTAACAAGACTATCTATTTAATTAAAACATTTTAAACAGAAAATACTAGTTTAAATAACTGGACTTAGAAAATGAAGATAGCAAATTTTAAAAAAACAATTTTATTTGTATAATATATAGCTTTATTAAAATTAATTAATTAAAGTATTTTGGTAAAATTAGATTCAAATATAAATAAAAGAAATTTAAATATATATAAAGTAATATAATAAAAACTTTTATACAGTTTTAATTTTTAATGAAAATATTAGAAGTTTTTATATGTGGTAAAAATACTATTTTATTTTGATACTTTATATTATTTCTATATTTTTCTTTTTAGAAACAATTATCATATATTACAAAATATTCATTTTTATTATTAATATATTTTAAGAAAAACATTTTTATATTATATTATTTGTAATAACTTAAAAACATTTATTTGTTCTTTATATTAACTACTTGTTAATATTAATTCAGATTAATATTTGACTTAAGTTATAAATTTCTAAGACAATTAGTTTATGATCCAAATTCTGCAGATGCAATAAATATAAATTTATGAATAAATAATTTTGATTTTTTAATTATTTATTAAATCAGTAAAAAAATATAATAGTTTCAATTGTCAGCTGTTAAATTTATCAGAAATAGAAATATATACATATTGTGATTAGTTTGAAGCTAATATGTTATTAGTATATAAAATATCTATTTAATTAATTAAATAATTAAATTAATGTTTTCTATAATTATTATTACAAATAATATAAAAAATATGAAAATACTCAGTGAACAAGATAAATATTTGGCTTTAATAAAGATATTAGAAATAAAAGAATAAAAAACAAATAAAAAATTACAAAATAAAATCACTGTCATTAGTACTATCCCTAGTATTATTACTATCACTACTGATATCATTTTTATTTTCAGAAAAAGATGATTTATTTTCTGTGAAATAGGTTTCATAGTCTGGACCAAGATCAAGCAAAAGTTGTTGTTCTAAGCTGATATTATTATCTGTTATTTGTCTGACAACAGAAACTCTGGCCAAAGTTTGTAATAGACCTATCCAAATATTTCCAGCATGCTTGTGCCTCCAAATAAACTGCATTAATTTCCATTGTACTATTTTCTTGGTTCTTGATCTTGAGGCCATTTGCTGCTTTACAGCATTCCAAGTACCTAATAAATTATAATTAATAATATATTTCAAAATATTTTAATATTATCTTCAATTGTGTTGGTATGTACACCTTCACTTGTTTTATATTCAACAGAATGATTTACTGTTGAATGTCTATATCCACTGCAAAAGGAGGGCTAATTCAGTATACTAAATCTTGACCAAATACTGTCTGAATGAATAAAATTCAGCACGAATTTGATCGGAATTTATGATGCCAATTTTTAAAATTCGTGAGCTAAATGAATACAATTAGTATACTGAATTTTAGGAACGCAAAAAGAAAAAATGTGATATACTTTTATCTGATATATTTTGGTTGTGAAAATATAGACGCACTTTTATCAGACCGCAGATTTTTCATTTTATATTGGTTTTGGGTTTTTTTTTTAAATACAGCACATAACATTCAACATCTTTTTATTACTATATATGGGTTGTTAAAGAAGAGATTTGGTCAAGATTTAGTCAAGATTTAGTCAAGATTTAGAGGTTTATGGGTCATTTTAAAGGTTTTTATTGGTTTGAAAAAATTTTCTTATTGTTTCTAGCTGTTTCTATTCGTCTACATCACTAATCGTCTTCTGTTGCAATTGGGTAGAAACATCACACTCGATGCCATCATTTATTTTAGTGAATACTATGTTATTCCTTTCAAACATTCATTGGTCCACCCCTGGTGCAATTGACCCCTACTGTATTCCATTGCTTGCTGCGGCACGCCTTCTTGGCCTGTTTGTTTACTTTTATAAAAAATAATTATAGGGTGGATTAGAAAGAATGTTCTAGATATATTTATTTGAGAGCGACAGATTATTTAAAAATATAAATGTACTTACAATAAAGTTAAACACGAGAACAGATGGATGCCTTTAACATAAAGATAGATATATCAACGTTTTAGTTAAATGTCTCAATTATAGTAATATTGTCTATAAAAATAATAACTTTTGTTAATACGATGCAAAGTAAATAAGACTATGGTTTGCTTACCAGACAGTTCAGAAAACAGAAGAGTTGACAAACACAAAATACAATGACATTGTCTATAAAATATAATCTTTTATTAGAATGAAATAAAGAGTATCAGACTATTTTTTGCTTACCAATTATTCAATATAATAGAAGAAGTAGCATGCGGGAAATGGAGATATTATCTATAAAATAATTTCTTTTCATTAGAACTACATACAAAGAAGTAGAATGATTATTTACTTACTTGTCTGTCTGTAGAGAATAAGAGTCGGTATATAATAAAAAAAAGAGGACTGAGATAAAGACCAGTGACTATAGAGTGTATGGTATACATAAGAAAAATAATAAATACAAGTTGTATCTTGTAGGTGTACGTTAATATTTATACAACATACCATTTTGTAAACCCTCCCAAGGTATATGTCTTTGTTAACGGGCCTGAAAAATCTAAACAGAATAATTAATACATAAATCGTGAATAAATATTCAAGTATATTTTTATTACCTTTTTATCATTATTTTTGAGGCAGTTAAGAAGGACTTGGTGGTTTAAAGCATAGTGTATCATGCTAGAATAAAAACAACAAGATGATTAGGTCTTGAAACTTTGATGTGAGTTGATGCTTACCATGTTAGACATTAAGAAAGAAGTAAAGAAGAAGAAAGAAAAAATTAAAAAAAAACGGGGGAAATTCAAAATTATAATTTTATGACCGTTGACCCTGAGAAACTGATAGAATCAATGGAGCAAATTGAAAGTCATTCAACCCATCCCGATTGAGACAAGACATTACGTACTAAACCATAATCTTTCACATCTTTGTAATAGATGTAAGCTATTACAAATGCCTTTCCAAGTCAGCTTATAAAGAAAAGTATAATATAGAGATCACAATGCTATAAAGAGCATCATCAGAAAAATAATCTTTTGGTGCCTTACTTTCCACTTTTACGTATGTTTTGATTTATTTTATTATTTTAAAGAAACCCGACTCTAATTATTAAAGTATTCACATTGTTTCCATTTCTTTCATTAGCCTTAAATATCTCAATTCATGTCTTCTAATACGCAGCAATCAAAAAAAACGAAAAAGACGACTACAAAAAAGTCTGTTCAACAAACCGCTGAGACAGCAGCAAGCACAAGACAATGGGAAATTCTTCCCAGCTTGACAGTTAGTGCAGAGCTAGATGGTACTGTCCTGTCCACTTTGTCCACCATGAGCACCCGACTGAATGAATATCATTCACTTCTGGAGAAGGTCTACCACAACATGGAAGCAACCAATGGCCAGAATAACAATTCGAACCATAGTCCCATCAGTCAGGCTCTTACTACAGGAGAATATATAAAGCACCGCCTTCCAACGGTTTTGGTAGGATATATACTAGTAATAGAATATTGCAAAGTTGCTTACATTATATTTTGCAGAGATTGATCCATTCTCAAACACGAGCAGTTCTGTCAACAATGCCATTGACAGTCAATGAGGGCGCCTTCTCAACATCCAACCATCCCATTGCTGATGTAGTGCAGAGCTACACACATTAGCAAGCTGAAGTAAAGTCTGTTTCGTCTGCAGTTGTGGAAGAGAAAACCCAAAGACATATTTCGTATATGCTTCAAAGGGCAAAAGCTTTGCCAGAAAAGATAGCTCAACAAAATCGAATTTCTTGATGCCGGTCCAGAAAGAGAAATGTAAGTATAGTCAACAGTTTTTGTGTAAACTATTTTAACTTTTTTTTTCAGATTCTTGCAGACTACAAGACAATTCACTTAGCTGACAAGGCAAACCTTGAGTCTAAGTTTGGTGAGACTGTCGTTGGCCTTCTGGACTATGACATGTTGTCTAATATTGAGTCAGATGAGGAGAAAAATAAAACTAGATATACTCCTAGAAATAGACATCCCTTGGTAAGGCTCTCATGATAAAAGTTATTTTTTTTAATACTTCTAACTCAAAAGTATTTATATTATAATGCAGGTGGATAAATACTTTACTGTTTTGAAGAAACAGAGACTTGCTAACAAGGGACCAGACGTCATTGGAAATTCTGTCTATCCAATTATTTTGAGAAACACCGAGTTATCAAATGAGAAAAAGGCACATGTTGCTGCTTGGATTCATACATGCCAACAATAAATCGTTATTTTGTTTACAAAGTGCATATAGTACTTTAATGATTTTTATTGATTGTATTGAATGATGTGGGACGAAGTGGTAAAATATAATCAGGTGGTATTGTCAAGATGAGAAGCAATTAATATATAAATAAAAGGAAAAAGAAAAAGACAAAATCAAGAATCAAAATAATAAATTATTATTTTATTTTATTTTATTTTATTTTAAAGCCAATTAATAAAAAAAATATATATACAAAGCAATTATTTAATTATATAACCCTGATTGTTTTATCCTCGTTTTTTTTATTGGAAATTATAATACCGATATTAGCAAGAATATGTAATAAAGGCTAAGAAAATGGTAAATGTTGAGTATTAAATATACAAGTTTTTTTGTCTTTTATATTATTGATAAAAGCAAGAGAAATAAATAATGGTTTTTACTATTCGTTAATAGTTAAAAAAAAAACTGGTAATATAATTTACTATTGCTCTTTTAAATACTTAATAAAGAAGTAATGTTAAAACTAAATAAGAATACAGAGATAAATAAAGCTAAACCTTTTTACAGTCAAAAAACTCGTATTATAATTATTTATACTGGTAACCTAAATAGTTGTTATTTTTTTGTTTTTTATGTGACTACTTTTCTAGGCAGTGGAATAACCAGGTGCTTTTGCGTCCCACTCTGCATTTTATGCGTAGTCAACGCAAAGCACGAATGCAGACGATGCACTGGAACAATGCACGAAGCATCTTCTTCCATAAATCCCTTGTCCCACAACTGTAGACCTTGATCAGCTAATGGCTGATGACTACTTGAATGGTAGGCGGGAAACCATTTAATGAATGCGAACGTTGACACTCATTTGACTCCACCAATCTTGATGGAATAAGTAAATAAATACTCTATTTGACCAGGGAATTCAGATACATCGTCATTTGTTCTCTCAAGAAACAATACCCTCACAAAAGACCCACGCTTCTTCTTTTTACCACTGCAGTACTCTTGCCCCAGCAACAAAATCTTCTTCACCTTTTGAATCCGATTGTTCACAAATACATCCTCACCAATTGGGATTCTCCCTACCACACAGAAGGAAACACTTGTACTCCGGTAAGCCTTGACATAGAATCCAAATAACCACTGATAGTGATCATCCTTCATCATAGTCAAAGGCTGCAACTTGATTGGCAATGTGGTCGGGGGCAAGGCCTCACTTCCAGTGACATTGTACCATGGATTTGTAGCAGCTTGCTGGAACATTGCTAAGCTAAATGGCAACACAGGAGGGTGGCCAGCATCCAAATTCAAGGGAGAAGAGCTGTTGGAATTTGATTTTACTTGGGCAACCCCCTCAAGGAACTCTATCAGTGGTGATAAAAGATTGGTAGAATACGCTCGAAGAAAGCTACCAATGAATGTTTTCTCCAGGAAGACTCTCATGAAGGTGACCTCAAGACCATTGCAACGGTTCGTCTTGATGTTCTTCAACTTGCCGTTGTATCTCTCGAAGCTATACAGCCAGAATGCGTATACCGGACCAAAATTAAGCATTGACTCATGCAAGTGCATATGCAAGGGCATATTTGGCGTGATGCTGCTCTCTCCATAAAGAGTCTCACACTCTTTTCCAAATTCTCCAAGGAGCTGGTGTGCACTGTCAATTTCTGAATATGTGACTGAAGGACTGGTCAACTTTCAGCATGCTTTTACAAAGAGAGTCCAGTTTTTGTAGTCGTCTTCAGGCAAAGCGTCTTTTAGTACCACCAACAAATAAATCAGACACCACAATTGCCACTCGTCTGCCTTCATATACAGGAAACCAGATTCAATCTTTGTTGATAAAACGGCATACCCAGGAGGCATAAGAATATCATCAGCAAGACGTTGCATATGGACGAGAACAGCAGTTGGGAGATACCTCAGGTCTTTCAAACACTGATCATACGCTTTGCTGTCCCAAGAAACAAATTGTGCATGGGATCAACAATCGTGCATCAGATGGGATCAAAGTAGTGTAGGCGATGCAACTTGGAAAAATGGGTGTCATGCTGCTTCTCCAAAACAGCTCTCTCTGCATCAGATTCTGCGCAGAACCATATCTCAGCTTCGTTTGCATTTTCCTCTTTTGTTTGGGAGACCCAGTTCTCATAATCGAATCCAGAATAATTGATATTACTTGTTCCAGCAACAACAGTGAAATGAAGCTTGCATATGTGACAGGCGTTTGTACTTGCAAATCCTGTAAATCCAGCAGTCTTTCTTGCAGCAGGTATGTTGCAAGCAACACACATAAGAGCAGCGCGGATACTAGTACCATTAGGGAACTCTGGAGTTTTCATAGTTATGCTGCCATATAACTCTACCAGCTCGTCTACCAGAGGTTCCAAGAAGTTGTTCATCTGGTCGATCTTCGCTTCCTTTGGACCAGGCATGACACCGACAAGGATAATGTTTTCTGGCTTCATTCTTTCTTCCCTAGGCAGATTGTTCATTGACAGATACAAGACCCCACTTGCATGTGTACAACCCTCGAACGGTTGAAACCAATCCACATTCAATGTCAACATCAAAGAATGGTCGTGATTCACAAAAGGCTCATCATCTTCGTCAAGGAGCTCAGACCACATTGCACTATCATAGACGTCTAACAAGATACTGTTTACGGTTTCCCTTGATCTCCATTGAACGATTTGATGCTCAAACCCAGGTTTGGAGAAATGCTGTGCCAATGCATTCTTGAGCGAGTTGTATGGGAAAACCATGAGAGGGACAGCGCGATCAGCTTCGGTGTCAGAGAAAAGAGGATTTTCACAGTATGTTGGTGGTGTGGTTGTGTATTTTTCGAATGTGCAATTTGGTTAGCGATTGCCTGGTAGGTAAATTGCAAAGCACTTGTTGCAGACGGTGTATTTGACAATGCTTTTTGTCATGAAATTGAAGCCGGTCATAGTCTTTAATGCATCAATGGTGAGTGGGAGATTGGCATTCTTATCAAAGGCAACAAGAAGATGGCAAAAGAATTTCAACATAGCAGTTCCACCTGCTTGAACCAAGTAAAACGCCTGAAAGATAATGCCAAATAGAGCCATGAATTGGCTTGTTTGAGATATTTCATGAATTTTCAAAGAAGCAACTACAAAGGCAAGTATTTCTGTTAATTATTTGTAACACAATTTATGTATATTTCTTTTTTAAATGTATGCATACCAGAAGCAACCATGTCTTCAAAATCTTCAACACCGGCAACCTCAACTTCGCTCTCATCTTCAGACTCATCGCTTGAATCAGGATCGTCATTGTCAGAAGCCAATGATGTTGTCTCAACATCAGACTCTTCGAATTGAAAAATCTCGTCTTCTCTCAAAAAAGGTACACTCTGTACGGTAGTTTTGGCTGATACAATAGAATAATTATCTTCTTCTATAGTAAAACCAGACTATTAGCTATCTAAATTATGATTTATTAAAAAGAAATTTTATACTCACAATCAATCGATGTTTCAGATACATCTACCATCTCAACGTCTGTCTCTTCTTCGACAACTTCTGTATTAACTGATAATTAACAAAAAAAAATATTAGATTACAATTTATCTAGTAATGTGCATACTACTCAAATGTCATTTACCTCGATTTTTTGGGCCAATGTCTAATAACTTATCATCATTATTATGACGCTTAAAGGTCTGTGCATTTTGCAAAATTCCGCCAATTGCATTTTTGGTACATGATAAACATGTACATATAACAGTGCAGGTTTTAGTTGTAGAATTCATAACAGTAAGAATAATATTAATAATAATAAAATAATAAAGAGGTGTATACTATATTTTATTTTTATCTTTTATATGTCTCTTATTTTTGTCATTAATAATGAGTTGATATATCTTGTTCACTATGTCATTAACTACATTGAGCTTATCATCCTTATTAGTAAGAATTACAAATGGATTTTGATACAGCGATCTTTTCTTAAAAAAAGTGTGCCTGATTATTAATGGGGTTTCAATTTAATAATCACTGATATAATGGCGTAGTTTTTCTCTTTTGCGTTTTTTTAACATGAGATCAATTCTCGCTCATTTTGGCAAGTGGCCTTTATTGGATTTTCTTTTTCTTGTGTTTTTTATGACATCAATTCTTGCTCTTTTTTTCAATTTTTTTTGATATACTTTCTTATTAAAAATAAGTCACATATCATACATTATTATATTCTAATAAAAATCGGTATTTTTTGCAATGCAATAAAAATATTATGGAGTCTAAATTAGGTGCATCTGTAACAACAAGTTTTTCCTTCCAGAAAAATAATTAAATACCACATTTAACATTTAATATTTTATTTTTATTTTTTATTTTTCTGCCAAGTCAATTGAAACATATATTTTTTAAGACAATTGTGCAATTTATTGCCTAATTAATAAATATTTGTGTTTGTATCTGTGTTTATTTAATATAATCAGAAAAAATTGCGAATTCCCATCTCAAAGAAAAAATATATTGAAAACCGATAGTGTTTGAAATATTTTTCCAAATTTTGCCAAAATTCAAAAAATAAAATTCGACCAAATCCACTCTCCTTTTGCAGTGATCCCAGGGTTTCTAACTGATTGTATGATTTAAAGCAATCAGTGTGAATGATAGAGCCTGGCAGAATATGACGTTGGATAATATCCAAAAGATTGTCAGCTGTTCTGTTTGATACAGCCACCAAAAATATTTTTCTTTCTGATGTCTGCTCAACACCCCCAGAACCCAAACACCTTCAACTTTATGTCCTCTATTATACTTTCGTTTTCCAAATTTAGATTCATCAATTTCAATAGTAATTCCTTCTCCTCCTATTATATTATTAGAATTTATTAATAAAACATATATTATATTCTACTTACCAATCAAAGTGTCATTACTACTAATATGTTGACAAATGGCTTTTTGAATATCTGCCATAAAAGTATCAATTGTCTTTGCACTCAGTTTGGTTGCTTCTTCAATCTTATTCAGTGGATGATTCAAGATGAAACACCAAATAAGATATATCATAGTATTTAAAGCCATCTTTTTAAAAGAAAAGATAGTAGCTTTTCTAATAAACATTTCACTTCTGTTGCAGCAGCTTCTGGAATTGCACTTCTAGTAAAACTTCTCTCTACTATTATGTCACTGTAAAGTCATAGGTCATCCATTGCGACATGATATCTGCTCATAGAAAATATTATTTTCTTTCAGATAACTATAATATAAAATATATATATATATTATTATAATTAATATATATTTAAAGCATTATTGATTAATACAACTTACATAGCAGAAGCTTTCTTAGACTTAATAATTTTATGAATTTCTTCAAAGTCCGATATGATTGAAATATCTATTGGCTGAAAATAGCTGGGCATATTAAATAATCAAAAATAAAAATAAAATATAAATATTGAAAGAAAGAATGAAAGAAATAATAAAAAAAAGATATTTATATTATTTTCAAAAATTTTAATATTTAGACTGTTTTATTTAGCCATCATAAATAAATACACTACCTACAGTCACATAAATATAATAATGTTTAATTTTTAATGAAATAAAAAAAAGACTACAACCCAGGTTTGAACCCTGACTGTGGGAGTGAAAGTGCAAAAATATAGCATTGTGCCAAAACACTCATTACACAAATATAGCTGCATGACAATATTTCAGCTACACATACAAACTGTATATATTAATTAGAAATAGTACTATTTCCAAAAAAGGCAATATCTTTATATTGCCTATAGCAACATAATTTCAGAAAAAAAATTGTCTCATTTTTAAAATTCCAGCTACAAGATATTAAAATTTCAGAATTTTAAAAAAACATTTTTTTTAAAAAAAGAGCACATCAGTCGATTTTATCATTCAGTCTATGTTTTAGATGTTTAATATAGTGAATATACTTGTAGAAGATATTACTGGACAACAAGCATCTAAGACATATTATCGTAGCTATTCTTTTAGTCAGAAATCAATTATCATTTTGTATAACACCACCAGAGATTTTTGTTATCATTTTGGGTGAAAATTGGCACCTAAGCAATATGATTGGCTTAGAGGCCAAAATATTGTAATTTGTTTTCGTACTCAATTTTTTTCATCCGAATAAAGGATAAAATTAAGTTCAGTACTACTTGTGGGCTTTTAAAGTAAGAAAAAAAACTGTTAGGGAAGTCAGAAAGTGTTCAAGTGAGACAAAGGATTTATTAAGGAAAGTTGGGGGTTGGTTTGAGTAACCAAAAAATGACTTCACAGAAATTACGCAAAAAAATTGATGTTGAGAAGAAAAAAACAGAAGGTTCAAATAATAATTATAATAATAATAAAGAAGTAGCATCATTTTATTCATCAAAAAGAATATTATTGAAAATGAACCAGTAGGAACCAAACTTGCTCAAATTTACAATGTAAAATGGGTTGCGGAAAATGTGCAAATCTAACTTACAAACGAGATTCATGTTAGCAACATCAGAATGCTCACCTGTCATTACAGCCTTGGCATAGTTATTGTTTCTGTCATTATCCGTACGAGGAACAATGCTAAGAAACTTAACAACAGAGCCTGAGACAAGTCCTATCCGAGGGCGAGAGATTGGATCATCTTTAAAAACAAACGCGCCAAAACTGTTGTTTTGGACGGCGTCATCTTCAATATCTCCAGTGTCGTTGTTGTCCTTTAGCTCTCTCGAGTCGCCAAAGAAGGTGTAATAGAACAAAGATTCATTGTTGTCCTTAATGAACCTCTCTATTCCAGTTCCAGACTTCTCTCGGTTGCCAGAGCTATTAATCCACAACCCGCTGTCAATTACATGTTGCAATGCTACCTGCTTTGCAAACTTTAGGCAAACATCCCTGGAAGTGTTTTGGCGATTTGTATGAAACAGATGTTCGCGAATGTGCTTATTGAACTGTTCGCCCTTTTCTGTTTCATAATTGAGGGCTGGGCCAAAACGAATTATATCTTCCTTGAGATGTGTCAAGTAATGAACTTTCGGCTTGGTGCAATATGCCTTGTAGAGCTCGTTCTTGGTTCCTTTATCGTAGTCAAATAATGTTCTGATCAAGCGCTTCACTGCATTATCTACTCTGATAATATAGTTATCAAAGTCTGATGTCACCTGACGAACGAATACCAGAGAACACAATCGGCCAAGTTCAACAAAGCATGGTATTACAAGGTCTAGCTCATGATTTCCAGAGAATTCTGTAATCAGAATTACAGGAAGTATTTGAAGCAGAACCTTGAAATCTCTACCGAGGAATGAACCACTATGTCTCAAGTTTCGGGTGAACTTTCTTGATAGACCAGTTGATCGCGTGTAATCTGTCAAGAATTCTGAAAGTCTTGCTATTGTGGCTGTGTCATTCTTAAGCACGACCTTAACCAAGTCAATTACCATATACTTTGCAACACCAAGAAGTATCGTGTGGAGGATTTCCACTGGTGTATCCTTTTCTGGATCAAACGACTGCAATTCTAATAAGCGGCCAGTCAAACGATCTCTAAAGCTTATCTCGTTTGCAGGTGTGTTCATTCCAATTTTCGGAGCATTTGAGATCTCAGTGTCTCTGCCAGGTGACGAGTTTGCAAGAACATAGTGCTCTCGAGTTCGTCTCTCATGGCACTCACAGAAGTAGGACAAGTCCTTCACAAAGTCTTTTGCACGTCTAAGTTCGATGTAGCATCTTCTGCAAGGAAATGTGGTGGCCGGCCCAAGCAATCCGCAAAGTTCCGAATGACATGGCGTGTCAGCCTCAATCCAAAGGATGGGAGCAACAACCAGAACATACTCATTGTCTTCAGCGGAGAACATTTTTACACCTTTCTCGAGTTTCTTAAAGTCATCAACGATTGCTGGCAGAAGAGACATACCATTTGCACCATCTTTCTTAGGGATTGTAGAAAGAAACTGGATGTTTGCTATCGAATTTCGATCCTTAAAGGCAAGGCAGCGCATCTCATTAACCAGCTTTCAAACGGATTGTACTGCTTTGAACGATTGCCGGAAGTGTCGTCTGTAAAAAGGATGATTGAAACAATCCTAACTTTGTAAAACACTGCATCGCGATCTACATTACCGGGCAAAACAGAAAGAGGCATAGGCTTCTTCATTGGATGAACTCCAAAAAGAAGAAAGTCATGAGCAGGACTCAATCTGGTAAGGCTACTTGAGATACTGTAGTAGTGATCTCTTTCAACAGGAGTGGTGTCAACGTGAGAGATCTGCTCTACTCTAAGATCGGTAACAGCAACCTCAACGCCATAGCATACAATCGAAATCGCTCTGACCAGATACCCTCTCGCAAAAATGTTTTTATTTGCCGTGTGGAACGATTCAACCAAAAAGCGGATGCTGCAATCGTTTGTCTTCAAGTAAACGATGTTTCCAAACCAGACATCTATACCATTTACAGTGTGCATAGGCTGCTGAAAGAGATGGTGGGTTCTCCACTTTTCACCTTGTTCCAAACAGATCGATTGGTTTGGGGTACGATCGGGCATGGACGAGATCAACTTGGATTTCTTTGGGTTTGCCATAAGAAATCTCAAGTGGTCGGACGGAAGGTTAATGTGGGCGAATGCGTTCCCGTTTGATCCAGGTACTGATATTCTTTGTGAAGGAAAGACAGGCATCTTGGACTTCTTTCTTGCCTGATAATTTAAAAGAGCATCCAAACGAGGTAACTTAAATGTTCTTCCTATGGGAGTTTCTTGCTGGATCTTAATGATCAAGTTCATCGCAAGCAGTATCTTCTTCAACATTCGCTGGGAGATCATGTCATTATCCCCATCGATAAAAGCGAAAAGGATCATGGTTTGAAGATCGCGAAAAGGATAACAGCTTGTAGGGTCATTTACAGCGCCAATTGTCTCAAAGACTTCTTCCGGGATCTCAGAGTCATCATCGGTCATTGATACCTCATCAGCAGCAGCAGCAGAAGAAAACATGTCAGAGAACGCGTTGAAAACTGGATTACTGTTCATTTCAATATCAAAGAAATTATCGACAATATCGTTTTCCTCGTCTACAATATTGTCTTCTTCATCCCCAATACTGGAGGAGTCATCTTCGTCACTCAAGTAATCAAATGCATTAGCATCCAGAATAGTGTTCTCGACTATCAATTCGACCTGCTCGGGTTTGTTGAGTACAGTATTGGTTGCCATTTGATTACTTATATGGTGAACCTTCGAATGCCTTTTCAGTAACCAAGGCTTTTCGAACTCTTTTTCGCATTCAGAGCAGGTAAAAACACCTGAATTGATGCTAAAGTTAAGTTCGCCTTGCCTTTTAGGGGGGCGAGTCTTAACGATTTTATATGTTTCTTGTCTTGTATTCTTTTGCATAATAGTAAATTGATTGTAAAAACAAAGGGGGGAAAATGACTTTGCGAAAATAATTGAATTTATAAAATGTGGAAAGATCGATATTTAATGTCAGCGGACCAATTAGAATTTTTTTTACTTCTTTTCTTTTAAGAAAATATCGCCTGTTTTTGTCTTCTTTTTCATTTTACTTTTCCACAAAATATTTATTATTTGCATGAGCTTCTATTTGTAAGATATTCCAGTATGCTTATAGTATTTATAGAAGCAGAATTTTGCTTAAAGACCGTAAGCTCAAAGGTATTTATGCTATCAAAGTTTTTTATGTCATTGTGTTTATTAATCATACAATTCTAGTTTATAAATTAGTTTTTCATCATCTCAGTAAATCAATAAAGAGGTAATAACTACATGTTCCTCTTACAAAGCAACAGAAGACTAATTATTTACTCCTCACTTGCAGAGATTTGGCTGCCTTTTATTGCAAATGCCTTAATAGAGTCAAAGGTAAAATTCTGTTAAATATATATAACTAAGTTTAATTACTAATTATTAGTTCTTCTGCTTTAGCTTTTCTCGAAATTCAAATCTTTATGCTCTTTGGGTTTATTGGAATTTCTGGCACCGGGTCTCTTGGATTAGCTAGACATAGTAGTTTGCAGCAAACCGATCACGTAATTTACAGGCATAAGTACAAACAGTTATACTACTAGTGTTTCTAGTGGTACGAATATACTGGTGTGCTACTGCCTGTGGATTTTATGGTCCAGTCTAGCTTTTTTTTAGCCTAATTTTTTTCGAAAATAAAAAATAAATTTTTTACAACCCAAAATTATTTGAAACAAATTAAAAATTTGAACCATTTTTGAAATTGTGCAGTACATTTTTTAATCGAAATCTATTGGCCGAGAGTAGTCCCCCCATCCCCCCACTTTTCAGTCCCCCAAAAAAATGAATTTCCTGTTATGGGCAAAATTCGCCCCGTATACAAGAATCCTTTTAAGGAACAAGATTACACAAAAAAATCTGCTGTGGTGAAATAGTCAAGAAATACATTTAATAAAAAGTGTCTTGATTCTTATCTAAAAACTATTCTTAAAAACTTAAAGATCCCCAGTGGTATTGATTCTGCGACTTGGTTCAAGTGCCAGAAAAGAAATAACAGATCGAGACTTGACAGCTAAAACTTGTATCACAAAAATTAAGCACGACACATAATGCATCGCAAGACATCCGATTAAAAGGTAGTTCCCCAACGGGGAATTGAACCCCGGCCACGACGGTGAGAGCGTCGGATCCTAGCCACTAGACCATTGAGGATTGTATTGAATTGACATAAAATGTTATAGTAATAATCAATGTTAAACACATTTCGGTTGTCCGGCAGTGCGGTGACATTGCAGAATTCTTTGTAATTCTAGAAAATTATGGGGATCTATATGGACATGCAAGAAAAATTAGGGTCGGACATGTAAAAAAAGACCAAAAGGGAGAATTAAACGTGACGTCACTTGTAATTGGCCTTTGGGAGTGTTACTGACAAATCGAGCACTGATAAGACATGCAAAAGCAACCAAATTGAAGAATTAAACGTGACGTCACCTATAATTGACTTTTGGGAGTGTTACCAACAAATTGGATACTGATAAGACATGCAAAAGCGAGCAAATTGAAGAACTAGATGTGACATCACATATAATTAGTTTTGCATGTTACACGCATTTTTTTTGGAGGGATCAGATAAATTATCCTCCAGATTGCCAATTAAATCACTGCTCTTTTTTACTACAACATCAGTGCATAATTTTTTTTGACATTTAACATGAGCAACATTAACAACATTAATAACACCAACGACTTTGTCATTGTTAGCGAGACGTCGAAGAAGTACAATGCTGCCTTGACTGAGTTCAACTCAATTTTTCTTGTTGGAAGAGAATTCTCTTCAGTCGTAGCTGTTCGAGAAGCTGCCAAAGCATATGGTGTCAAGCATAACATTGCTCTCACTACTGAATATGCATCAAGCTCTCGCATCAAATTGATTTGCAAGCACTCTGGCGAATATAGAGATACCAGAAAAGCCGAGAAGGTTGCTTCCAAAACATCAGTTATGGGTGAAACTCTTCCTGGATGGGAGAGAAAGCGCGAAAAAGATACGCAGAAGCATGGCTGCCCTTGCTTCATGTATGCCAACACCAAGAAGGGCGGAAAGCTCACTGTGCGCTCCCGTGAGGCAGAGCATAATCACCCCATCGAAGAAGACCGCAGAGCATATGCTATGCAACGCAAGCTCTCGCCTGAGGCAATGGCGCTTGTGGTTAAGCATCTGGAGAACAATGACGATGTATTCACCATCTTCAACAGTTTGAAGATAAATGGATATACAAACATTGTTCGCCATAACATTGCTAATATAAAGCAACATTTCGGAAAATCGGAAAAAGGAAAGGAGATGTTTGATTTTATCACCACTCTGCAAGATCTTGACTTCCATGTCAGGTATTCTGTCGGTAATACAGAAGACAATCAAGTGAATATGGTCTTCTTTGTGCATCAGGATGCGATCAATGAGGCACGAAGAATGCCTGAGACTGTCATTATTGATGCCACATATAAGACAAATAGTCATCGAATGACTTATGTCAACATTGTTGGTACTAGCAATGTGAGTGGAAACCCTCATACTACTTTAAAGACGTATCCAATTGCCGGTGCTTGGGTAGAGCATGAGACAGAAGAAAATTATCTCTGGGTGCTTAGCTGTCTCCGCGATGCAGTCTGGCCCGATGACAACAACAACAACAACAACAACAACAACAACAACAGCAGCAACAGCAGCAACGACAAACAAACAACACTTCTCCTAGATTTTTTTATCACGGACAATGAAAAAGCATTGAGAAATGCTATTACTCGAGTCTTTCCTGAGTCGAAGCAGTTGTTGTGCTATAAGCATATCAAAGACAACTTTAAAAAGCAATTGCTTCCGATGATGAAGGGAGACGAGAGTAGCGAAAAGAGAGACCTGTTGGATAAGCTGTCAGAATTCCTTGACCGAATTGCTTTAAAATGCATTACACATCAAGAAGTAAAAAACGAAACAAATGGATACCTTGAATTTGCAAAGGAAAATTACAAAGACCAAGGAAAAGCTGCTAGTGCTTTTCTTGAGAAGTACGTATATTTTTTTTAAATTTGATGTAAACAGTATTTAACTATAAAAAATCGTGTTTTTTTTAATATACTTTATCAGAAAAATGAAAGACAAGGAAAACGGGGTGAACATGTATGTTTATAAACATGCCCATTTTGGCAATCGCACGTCGAACCGTGCAGAAAGTGCCCATTCTTCTCTCAAGCATTCTCTTGGTACTTCCTTGGGTAAACTGAAGACAGTTACCCTTAAAGTAAAAAAGTGGTATGACGAGTTGGTAAGTTTATTCTATACTATTTTATGCATTTATTGGTTATAATATATTTATAAATTGTATAGGTTGCAGATCGCAAGCATCGGCTAATGGTGGAAAGCCTTGGAGAAGGAACAAAAATTGTGTTCGATAAAGTCAATGCCGCCAGACTAAATGACATCCGTCTTAAAGTCTGTAGATTTGCAATGGATCAAATCAAATTAGAATTATCCAAATCCATTATACCTGAAAAACTAGCCAAAGAGTGCAAATGCCTCATACAATACAACTACCTGCTTCCTTGTTACTACACACTCGCCAAATTCGATACCATCCCAATCTCCTGCATCCCAAGACACTGGAGAAAAAACTATCTAGAAGGAGAAAGTAATATATATAATAATAGCAATAATTACGTGACAATTTTCTCATATAATATTTTATTATGTAGACCATTTAACTATCCAAAATGCAACCCCAGTACCCCCAAACATCAACAATATCAAACCAATAACCCCAGAATTCAACTATGCTCTTGAGCTTATTTGCAAACATTTTGCCAATGCTCAGAGCGAACAAGAACAAATCAATATATACCAATTGATAGAAAAAACTTTGAAACAAATCGATGCACAGAAACTCAAAAAACCTTAAGGGCCCAACAGTAGTCGAAGCTATTAAAGGCCAACCAAAAAATACCAAGCGCAAGATGATTGCATTAGAGCATTGCATCAATACCGAAAAAGAAAAAATCACAAAAAAAATTAAAACAGAAAAAGAACAAAAAAAGTAAGATTTTAATATTGTTTAGATTTAATTTACTAAATCTTTGCTTTGTTTTCTAGGCAAAAAATATCCTCAGCTAAAGAGCAAAAAGCCATAAAACGTATTATCAACCTTGGGTCACCATGCGATTCCACATTACTAACAAATCTCACAATCGCACCAAAACATATATCAACAATCTTTTCTCCTGAAGCAGACGGAAATTGTGGGTACAGGGCGATAGCAATGGAAGTGTACCAGGACCAGGAGGAGTGGTCAAAAGTAAAAGACAAAATGCTAGAAACATTTTTAAAGCACCAAAACAACTACTACCACGGAAGAATGGAGCATGGCAATATGCCTGCATCCAATAACCCACTAATTCGCAGTCTCCAAGACAAGCGCTCACCTCTCCCCCAGCAACATTGGTTCGGTACAATCAACCATCCTCAACTTGTAGCCGATACATTTAGCAGAGCAGTGGCTGTATATTGGAATACTCCAATTGAAACAGGCGACTGTCTTTTTATTCCATTTGCTACCTTGCCAGAAAAAGTGGAACCAATAATTATTATCTTAGATGTAAACCACTTTCTTCTTGCCAAGCGCAAAAACACTCGAAATTTCTGCTGGCCAAAAATCAACCCCTTTCATAAAAGAATAATTCAAAAACATGGCCTTGAAGATTATTCTTTGATGTACTAACAATCAAGGTATGGCTTTTAAACTAGAATTATCTTGAATTATACTAACTTTTCGTATATATCTTTTTTAGATTTTTTTTTTACTTTTTAGATTCTATATTTATCTCTATTATCAATATTCCCTTCTGTTTCTATTCAATTTATTATTATCTTTCTATTTATCTATATTTCTATATTTATCTTCTTTACAATCTTCCATTTTTATCTTTATATCTATCTCATTATCATTTTTTCTATTTTTACAATCAACATTAATTTTGAAACATTTAACAAATATCAAGGCTGACCCCCCAAAAAAATGCGTGTAACATGCAAAACTAATTATATGTGATGTCACATCTAGTTCTTCAATTTGCTCGCTTTTGCATGTCTTATCAGTGTCCAATTTGTTGGTAACACTCCCAAAAGTCAATTATAGGTGACGTCACGTTTAATTCTTCAATTTGGTTGCTTTTGCATGTCTTATCAGTGCTCAATTTGTCAGTAACACTCCCAAAGGCCAATTACAAGTGACGTCACGTTTAATTCTCCCTTTTGGTCTTTTTTTGCATGTCCGACCCTAATTTTTCTTGCATGTCCATATCATTGCCCAAAATTATATTCTATTATTTTTATTTTTATTTTCCAATGGTGGCTGAGGCTGAATAAAAAGCAATTTTTTTATTTGTAGAGCAAAACACTAATAAGTACAATAAAAAGGCATCATTCTGTCAACAATAACTTTAGGCAACCACACATTGTATCTTATTTTCCCACTATATTTAACTGAATGAATCAACTTGGAATTAACATTATTTTTATTATATATTCTTACAAGCATAATTATCTTTATGATTATGACTTAATAACTATTTTATTTTATTTGTACTTAATGACAGTAAAGAACAAATCAAATTTAATAAATTGTCAATTATACAACTTTTATTATATTTTTTTATAATTTTATTTATTTAATTATTCAACAAGTCAATTACAAAACTATAAATATCGCAATACTTGCATTTAATAAACATTGATTTTTCGTTGTCTTATTTTCTGACAAGTTCTCTTAATATTTAATACTGTTGATATTTTATTTGTTTAATTATCTAAGTATATTGAGTCAAGTCTATCGAGATTGATTAATAGTACTGTTTTCTCTTATTTTTCTCTTATTGATTTTATTATTTTTAATTCTACATTCTCTTTTGAGTTTGTCTTTTTCTCTCTTGTGAAAAAAAGAGGTTATTTTATATCCACAAACCCATTCAAACTTCAAAAACTAGGATAACATATCATCTGTCAATGTTTATTACAAATATAAGCACCATATGTGTCAAAAATCTCTCTTTCATATTAGCTTATATTACACAAAACATAACAAAAAAGTGGTTACATCCATACAAAAGCTTCATCAATCTGTTCTACATCTTGCTCAAAATAATATATTCATTATCACTATTGTCTTATCTATCAGTGGAAAAAATTTCAGCCAATTCCAACAACTTTTCATTTTTGCAATCTCAAATGTTAACATTATTGCTATTCTCTGTTATGCAAAGAATATGACCCAATCTTGTCTCATTTCTGGGGAATATGTAGACCCAATTTATGTCACTGCAACAATACATCAATGAACTTGAATCTTCTAATGTCACTAATGCTAGATTAACAGCTTAATTAGATAATATGGAAAAGCTAATTGCTGATCTCAGATCTCAATTAGCATCTCAGAGGAATTGCCTAATTATAACAAATGTAGCAACATCAACTGCACCAACTACACCCAAGGAATCTGACACTGAGACTTCTCTATAGACTACTACTGCTGTTGCTGCTCACAACTCTGCTGTTATTTCTATTGCCCTTTCTGTCAGCAAGGCTCTCAGATCTCCTTCTGTTCAACAGGTTGCTGCTTCTGCTAGAATGTTTGCCATTCTCACTAGTCCTAAAGGATATTAATATGTGTATATCTTACGTTTACGCCGTCTTGCACATAGAGAAGTATGCAACTCTTTGAAAATACTTGGTGTTGATACTGGCCACATCTTAGATATCAATTTTCCTGCCAAGAATGTAGTATTGGAAAAATAGGTTTATATACACATGTATAAAAATAAATATACCAATGTGTTTAGTTTAAAGATATGCATGGATTTAAGAGACCTGTAAACTATGGGCAGAGTACCTTAGATACTAGGGTCATGACAAGCTGAATACTAGTGAGGTGTCAAAGCAAAGTGTTGCAGATATGATCAATTTGTATTCTCTATATGGCAATTACATATGTACACTATAGGCGTTTGTATAAAACTTATAGTTTTATTAAAGTACTTTAGAGTGCAAGCTGATTCTGGATCTGATGAGATTCCCTACTGCAAAAACACTTTAAAATAATTGAATTCCACTTACCTGAAATTATCAATAATAGTAGTCAAAAAATTACAACCCAGATCACTTCCTGTGTTTAGCAGCAAGAATATATTTAAAAACATATCATTGACCTAATATATATCAGAGTTCCCAGGAGATTTTTTTTAAAATAATAAAGACAATTATAATAAGCAACAGCTGTTACATACTTCCTTTATTATTAAAAAAAATTAGATAAAAAAATGTTTGACATTGCCAATCCCAATGAAGTTTGTTACAAATGCACAAGATGCAATCGCAATTCTCTCAGATACACCATGACAAATAAAAGAACTGCCAAGTGTCATACCCAGAATGATAATGACAGGAAAATAAATAAAACCATTAATGGTAAATTAAGTTATCAATTTTTCATTTATTTATATAATATATTCTAATCCATTGAAACAAATAGTTTTGACAGCCGAAGTAAACACTAGTGAAGCTGATATGGACATAGATCAAATTGAAGAACATATTGAATATAATAGTATTTTATTTTTTATACCCAATGCACACTCTATTTAAACTTGGTACCAATAGATGATAATTACTCTGTTGGTGCACCCTTGCCAGAGCAGTATGTCAATACTCACTTACCTCTTTTGGTGAAAGAATTTCTTTTTGAAACAGAGTAGTATACTTCAGAGTCTGAGTCTGAATATGAGTTGTCGGATGAATTTGAGCAAGAAGAACAGAGCAGAGAGCAAGAACAGGGTAAATATTAAAAATAAACTATGATTGAAGAAAAAAGGCTTGAATTAAAGAAACAAAAAATTAATATTATTTTACAATAACTTACAGAGTCTACAGAAAACCTTCCAGAGAATATTTGGCATCAAGTAATTGCGGTTTTCACTGTGATATTTATTTCTAGCTTCATTGTAGATGAAGGTGCAGTAATTTTGATAACATTCATAAATACAATCCTCGAACATTATAGAGAGAATTTTCGACTTCCTACAAGCATTCCAGATTTGAGAAAAATGACAGGATACAATGACTTGATAAAAGGCATATCAAAATATGTAGCATGCAGTAATTGTCACACATTGTACAATTACAGCAACAACACATATACATTCTGCAATTTCAAAAGAGTTGGTAGTAAGACGTATTATAAAAATGATCTCTACAAGTCTAGTATGAAGAACACTATTGTTGTATCCAACATAATCGTAGATTTAAATTAAAAGTACAGACACTTAATAAATACGTACATTGAGTTACCGACAACTAATAATGATACTAAAAGATATATCTTTCTTTATACAAGGAAATTACATAAAGAACATACTAAGATAAATACTAAGACTCTAGTCAATAACACTAAAAACATAAGAACTAAATCATAGAAGATAATAGTAGAGAAACAGACATTACATGATATCATCATATCATCACCAAGCTAAATGCAATGTCTATATAAACGCACAATATTAATAGCAATAGAACAGCATCTCCTTTCTGATTATTTCACTTCTTCTAATAAAACAAAGTCTCACCATACTCTCATCTGCACTTGTTTTATTTTATATCTTATTTTTATCTCATACATAACAACTATGATTTTAAAGTGCACATTTGTTTATAACTCATTGACAACTACCTTGAAAAAACGTTTGCATGTTCTTCTTTCGAGAGTATGATCAACAGATGGAATTGAGAACCAAAAGTTGACGGTACTTTATTCAATATATATAATGCAAAGATGTGGAATGAATTAGTTGATAAGGATGGTGTCCAGTTTATTCCCAAGGAACGATCATTACTATTGACACTGAACATTGATTGGTTTCAACTGTTTGATGGAGTGACATATTCTTGTGGTGCGATATACCTGACAATTAACAATCTGCTGAGAGAAGAGCAGAACAAGGCAGAAAATGTCATTCTTGTTGGATTGATGCCTGGACCTAAAGAAGCAAGCACCGACGAGATCAATAACTATTTGCGTCCTCTTGTTGATGAACTTATGCTATTGTATAAAGGTATCACAATTGATACATATAACTGCTCAGGTGCTCTGGTGCGTGCTGCTCTGTTGATGGTTGCATGCGACATCCCTGCTGCAAGAAAGACGTGTGGGTTTACATCTCACAACAGCACATGTGCATGCTACAAATGCAATCATCAGTTTGCTTGTATTGATGGGACTACTGCTGTAAACTATTTTGGGCTTAAGTTTTGGAATAGGTAGGCTGCACAAAAGAAGAAAATCGCAGACATGCAAACCTGTGGAAGAATGTAAAGACATTGACAGAGAGAAAGCAATTGGAAATTGAGAATGATGTTCATTGGTCTGAGCTTCATCAACTTGTGTACTTTGAGCTAGTGCATACAACCATTATTGATCTCATGCACAACCTTTTCTCAGGACTGCAAAACAAATAATGGATATTTGGATTGCAAACAATTTGCTTGATGACAAAGATTTTGTAGAGATGCAAAAAGAAGCCAATAGAATGGTACTCTCTGTAGGATACACGAATCTGAAGATAAATATTGGAAAGAAATTTCCATTTATGAAGGCAGATGAGTGGAAAGCATGGTGCCTAATATACTCTCCTGTTTTGCTCAAGACATGCCTGCAAGATTATCTGCTTAGCAATTCGATCCAATTTGTCAATGCATGCAGAGAATTGATGAAGCCAAGTATCACCAAAAATGAGATCAAATAAGCTTACAAAAGTTTGGAGGAGTTCTGTGTTGGTTGTGAAGACTTTTATAAACCAGATGTATTCACACAAAACATGCATCTCCATCTCCACCTGAAAGAAATGATTGAGGACTTTGGGCTAATTTACGGATTTTGGCTATTTAGCTTTGAGCATTATAATGGTGTATTGAAATGGTTTGAGACAAACCAGAAGAGTGGGTTCGAGAATATCTACATGAAAAGGTTTCTTGAGAGTTGTTACAATGGTGATGTTTGTCAAACGCATCTCAGCAATGTTATCAGCCCTTTACTCCTCTCTCTCTTTCTCAAGCTGTCTGGCCATAAAATCTATAATCCTGCACTTTTGCCACATCCATTGATACTATCACTCTTTCACTTGCCATCATTTCTACAATCCGCTGAAAAGCCTTCAAAGCAAATATTTGGCAATGAACCTCTACCTCTTTCCACTCTACTATTGTGTTTGAAGCCACCAACAACAATGAGAAAATCCGAGTACAATTGTCTGCTCAATTTCTATAAAATTAAGTATGATGATGATTCTCTTTGCAGTGCCAAAACAACAATCACAAATTGTTGGTTTGTGAATGACCAAAACCAGAAGATTTCGTCCATCAATCTTCTTGGACAAGTTTACACAGGTGGAGAAGGCTTGGTTGTGAGAGGATCACATATACAAGTGAAATTTATTGAAAAAAGTGGAGACTCTAAAGAAAGACATGCTGGTCGTATTAAGTACTTGTTCTTGCACGATTTTACACCAAACCTCACGCACACCAACCTTTCCCCTTGTCACAACCCCCAACACATATTTGTCTTGGTTGAGTGGTACAATATTCCTTGCTATCAACCTAGACTCAAGCAAGGCATCGAGTTGTATGAGCCAGCATTTCTGAAGTATGACTATGACAACATTCTGCCTGTCCACCGCATATTGTTGCCAATTGCAATTGGAAGTCATGTGTCTGATAGTGGTGCGGCAAAAGTCGTTGTTATTCATCTGCCAAGAAAGCTGTACACTTGATAAAATACTCTATCTTTTTTTAAAATAATAATAATAATATAAAACATAGTTCATAGACATAAAAAGAGATATGATAAAGAGTGCAACTAAAAAAACAGAAATTTTATTATACGCGTTTTGACCACACAAGCATTCTTGTGACCAAGCCATGAGGAATTGTTTTGTATACTAACACATGACTCCACGACTTTAACTGCATTGCTCTTTTTCCTAAGTCATCTCTGGCGAGCTCATCAAGAAAGTCAAACACAGTATTCAACTATAAATATGTATATACATCAGCAATCAAACAACAGAAAAAACATTTTATATAAAACATTACCTTATCACTACGCCAATCAGAACGAGATGCAACAACAGAAGTGTCGGTTTCTGTCTTATCATCAGATATTATGTCTCTGTAAAAAACGCTATTATAATCCCGATTAAACTTTTCAGTGATGGCATTCTTATGCTTTGTATATGTTCTTTTTCTCCTTTTATTAAGCTACAATATATATAATATTTTAAGTATACTTATCAAAATTAAATTATTACAAATAGAAATGCTTACAGCAGTCTTTCTATTTTCTCTTCTGTTTGAGATAGTGTTTGTCTGTCTGACTTCTTCAGTAAGCTTACTAGCAGCCAAGCAATTGTAATAGCTGTTTACAATTATACCACATAGCTCTTTTGGTGGTACCATGGCTGCTACAGGTTGACGACAAATGTAAAGCATCAAATCACTTGCAAGATTCTTGTTAAACTTGTCAGACAAACTAACATTGACATCCCACATTGGTTTATCATCATTCTCTCCAATCAGCTCCAAATCATCTGTCTTAAGATTAATATCTCTTAACCGCCCCCGAATAATACTCTATTAAAGGTATATTGATGTTAGATTTAAAGGGAGATTGTTTTTATAATTTTAGTATTTGAGCTTACTGAGATCTTTGGGTGTCTTGAGCTGCTTATGATGTCCTGAGGATCCATATCAGAATCCAGAACGGCTTGCATGCCAGTCGATTGAGCACCCACCTGGCATTGTACTGTTCAAATAGTCAGTCTATTGGAAAACAATATAGTTTGTGTTTAATTACCTTTCAATTCACTAACATCGGAACTAACGGCTGTCATTTTGTCATTGAGTGTAGCGAGAAGACTGACTACATCATTAAACTCTGACACTGGAATTGACATATTTTCTGGTCTAGGAGCAATCATTGGATTTGACGATTCTATACGCCCAGTGTTGACTGCGTTGATCAATGGCCTAGATGTTGATCCATTGGTACGTGCGTTCTGGTTGATGTTAGTTCTTGGAGCCATTATCTGTATTTTTATATAATAAAATAATAAGTTTCTGGTATATATTGCCTGATATTTCTATTTTAATAAATTTTTAAGAGAGTACTTTACACGTAAAGAATTGTAGAGTAATTGAGTGATTAAACAATTATGTTAATGATTAAGTGAGCAAGTTGAGCAAGTGTATGAGTGTGTAAATACTTCTTTATTTAAATGATCGAGGAGATCGAAATATATTATTTTGAAAAAAATTGAGCTAGAAAACAACTTCTTTAGGTATATAGTAAGTAACAATTGTTTTATGAAACATATAAAGCTATAATTAGTAGACAATTTTTTTTTCAAAGTAAGAGAAACAGTCTAATAACTTTTTCAGGGTCTACGGCTTTTTCAAACACTGTTTTTTATTTTCCCACCTTTTTCTGTTTTTCTCTACTCTTTAATAATATTAATAAAAATAACACTCTTTTAATCCTACTATGTTTCACTTTGGGCACCCTTAATATATACATATGATGCAGGTGTCTTTCATTATACAAGAGGTACTTTACTATTAAATATATCATTATTTTACTAACTATAAATTACTTTAAATAGCCATTACATATATTTCTCTGATATAACCAGTGCAGACAAAAAAAAACACAAAAACATATTGGTGGCATGTACGTATATATCTATATCAACATCTTCTTCCCAGTATTAAAAACAATATCTAACATCTACTTTAAATATAGCTCACCCTTGATTTACATATGGTCAGTAAAAACAAATCATTTAAAGAATATAAGGGTACGTGTTATTCATTTTATTATTGTGTTGTTTTTATTTTGTTTTGTTTTTTTATATCAGCATTCTCACTCTCCTTTTTTATAGTTGAAATGGTTCTTCACATTCTTATATGACTGGTACTCAAGGATAAGATATGTTCCTTTAGTAAATATGTATATATATGTTTTATATTCCTTTCTTTATAATATATACTTGAATGACACATTGGCTTGTAGCTTTCGATAATATAAATCTGTGTTTTATTCCATTATTAACAAATTATTCTAACAGTATGTAAGTATCTTTCTACTCCCTTTAATCAAATAGCTTCAGTAAGCATATATACTCACTATCCGAGTTTATTAATTCAAAAAATTCTGAAACAAAATTTATAAGAAGTACAATATAACAGATTAGTGTATTTAATAGTAATACTATATAGAATTCTTATTATTGCAAAAAAAAAAGGCTTTTTTTATCCAAAATAAAAACAAATAAAAAACCATTTTTCAAAACAAAACAATATTCAATTGAGTAACTCGTGCTTAGCATTTGCACCTATGAGAATTTTTTCTTTGATTCATTTAGTCAATAAACATTAAAGAAGTGTCCTGTTATTATGCCTGCTATTACAAAAACAAGGCCTACATCAAATTACAGGTGTAATCAGTGATAGATAATACATTGTTCTGCATTTGGAATAGTCTATATAATTGATCCCCAAGAACAGTTGATACACAGACATTATATCTAAACTCTCTGTTTTTATTTTTGGAATAACATAATATTCAATTATTTTTGACACTTTATTCAATAACTTATCAACTATGATTTCTTTAATATTTATGAGTAATTCATTTTTATGTGACAAAATATCCCAATAATCAAGACCTATTATTATAATAATTCCCAATGATTTTTGCAGTGCCCCTTACTATAGTTACACATATCTTTGACACTAGAGTATAGGTACCTATACACTACTTTCTGTTCAAATATATTCAATTACAAAAGCCTCTTTATTGTTCTCAATCTGTAACATACTCTCGTAAATTTGATATTCCTTAATTATTGGATTGTTTTGGCTCCATTTAAAGTTTATTGAAAAAGAATAATAGAATAATTCTAGGTGGATAGCCATGTGATTGCATTATATATTTTTGGCTACTTCTTCTACAAGCTTCTTGATACTGTATTATTTTGAGGATTGCTGCATAGAAAAAAAAGACTAAAAAATGAAAATAATGGGGGGTTTTTGCTAGTATTCAACAGCTTATGAAAAAAACATGGACAATATATTAATTATATAGTTTTGATAGTATACTTTTCAGTAATTTTTGCAAATCAATATATATTTAATTTATATTTACATTGAAAATACTAGAAACAAAGGAGTTGAGCAAAAAGACACCAGAAATGTTAAACATGACATTTGTTCCGATTTTCTTTGACTATGAAAAGAATGGCTGAATGAAGGTTTACAGGGTTTTTAAGATCAGATTTAAACTACCGATAGGGATCATATCTCTATGAGTTTTCAAAATCATAACAATGTTCTTAAGCTAAAAACCAATTATTTTTTTGTGTTCTATATATTTATGTTTGAATATCTTTTTATTCAAATTACTCTGCGAATATTTGTGTACCTACTTATTTCCTTATGCGCCGAGTTTAAATTACTTGGGGAGTCTACTTTTTTAGTATCTTCTTATTTTATCTTATGGAGAGTTTGAATTTTGAAAATCCGTTGAGGTAGTGACAGGTTTTACTTTTGGTAAATTCAATTAAAGTTGTATTTGTTTATATCAATCAGAAATATTTTTTCTTGTACTTTTAAGATCTTTTAATAATATATATTTATTATTTTTATTATTATCTCTGAGTATTCAAGTTTCTAAAATATGAAGGGTTCTCACTTCTATATTCATCCATCAACCTCACAGCATCTGCGAGTGCTCTTTTTATAAGATCTGCCTTTGTTTGATCTAAGCCAGGAATTATCTTCAAAGTTTGAAGATCTTCAAAGCCGTGATGCATCGTTGCAGAATAGGCTGTAATTTCGTCAAAGACATATACATCTCTATCTTCAGCAGTACCTTCACTCTCTAATTCCTCCTCTACTTCTTCCTCAACTTCGTTCTCGTTTGCATTTACAGTGCCTTGTTGGTTCAATATCACTCCTGCTATCTCTCGTTGCTCGATGAAACTGAATTTTGCCCCACAGTAATGCTTCAACAAATGTGAATGCTTGCATGGGATCTGGCGGGTCAGAAAGTTCAGGCAAGTGCAGCTTTGTATCAAGTCATTTGATATATTGACGGTATACCACTTATCTTCTGTTACAAAAGATCTTATTTGCCACTCACCATTATAATCATCCATGCTGTTACCAGTCTCACCCAAAGGGTTGAGAATCATGGAAGGGAGCATGTCATTTTGGATTTTTGAAGCAACAAAAAAATTTCTTGCTAACTCATTATCAACAGGACCCATCTTACCATTGTTGAAGTAAATACGCTCAAACCTCTTATTCAAAATAGAACTCCACATCATTTTTCAAGATAAAAATCAGTCGATCCAATCTTCTGATGCGTGCACAACCAAAGTAGATTGTCTTGAGTTGATTGTGTCATGATTCTACATAGTTGTTTGTCACATATCTCTGATGTTGTTGGCTAATGTACGGGCGCCCCCATCTTGGCAACAATTCTTTGTTCTTGGTCCATTTCTTCTCAAAATATTTCAAAAACTGAGGTTGATCCTGAACCATTAGTTTAAAATCTTCAATTGCTCTTAGGAACACATCTTCGTTGGACTCGATGAGAATGTGTCTCAGGTAGTTCTTCAGTGCAGTCTTATAATTCTCAAGTTGTTCTGATATATAAGAGGCATTAAGCTTAATCTTGCTGTCAAGGTTGTGCTACCAAGTGCAAAGAACATGAACATCACAGTAGTGAATTGTAGCATGAGATAATGCTTCTTTGATTGCATTAACCTCCATAATGCTACAGTCAATAGTGATATTCATTGGTACAAAGCTGCTCTTGATGCGAAGGTGGTCAAGCCAAAGTTTGATGGGTATGGCTGTCTAGTTGTTTGTCACCATGTATGCAACAGGGAATCCCTTTTCTGTTTGAGGATAGTGAGTGACCAAAGTATATAATACTTCGTCGCTTCTGGACGAAATAGAATGGGTGGCATTGAGACAAAAAGATTGAGAAATTCTCATGATTGAAACTTGTATTGGTGATTGAAATCCAAAGGCAAATTGTTTTTTACCGTCATTATAAACAGAAAGATTGATTTCAAAAATGCAATAGTTTTGTTCTGCTAGCTTTACATTTAACCAGATGGAAATAGATGCATTTTCATCAGAAGCAAACATATATAACAAAGTAGTCATCTATTTTATATACGAGTATTTATTTGATATATAAATATTAATTTAATACGAAAGTTCTGTTATATTCATTGACAAACCTTTCTCATTCTGTTGTAAATTTCTTCATAATTAGGCTTTCTGATGCCAACTCCCCAACTATCAATCTGTCTAAGAACTGAAATTCTTGTACTTCTATAGCTGCTGCCACTTTTCAACTGATCTTCAATAATCTTTATGGCTTCAGAAGGCAAAGAAAGAGTTCTGACTTCGTCCCAGTCTCCAGGAACATGGTTTACTTGTGCTCTTGTTTGGCAAAATGTAACAACATTGGGGTTGTCGAGATGCTGTATGATTTTTAAGGCAGCTGTATAAGAGCATGTCTTTGTATCTTTCTGGGCAAGATGTAATTGGCGGTTTGTTATATATTGGCCAGCACGGTGTCATTTTTTAGTTTCTCCAAAAACTAAACCTTTTCCAGAATATTTATGCTTTTTATTCCATTTTGTTGAGCATAAGACATTGATTCGCTCCAGACACTTTTCCCATTCACTAGCTTTTACTAATATTGCCAAATTCAAAGGAAGCATCTTGATTCCTTCCAAAGGCGAGTTGATCAAAACTTGTTGAATGGTAGAAATATCATAAATAGTGTTGTTTATATTGTTGTTAGACATAATTGAAATTTGTTTTTAAGAAAGAGGGAAGGGATTATTTGTTGAAAAAAAAATGCCATGTGTGGGATGCAAAAGTCACTGTCTGTCATTAAAGTTAGAAAGCCACAAGACTAAATTAAATACTAATTAAAACTCTCCATAGGATAAAATAAGGAGATATCTTTTTTATGTTGCAAGGAGCTTTAAATTATAAGAATGTGTAGAAGCAGTGACAGCTTTTACTTTTGTTGTTTCTTTTGGAATCTTAATGTTTTTTTTTTACATTTTTTTCTCTTTATCAAAATATATTATTATAAAACATAATTGTAATTTTTATTATCTTTGTGTATTAAGATTTCTAAAGCGGAAAGAGTTTGCATTTCTAAGAGTGTCTATATAATTCATTGCTTCCTCAAGTAAACTACTAATCACTTGTAATTCGACTTCATCAATTCCTGGAACATCCATCAAATGCTCTAAGTCTTCTCTTTGATGATGAAATGTTGTATTCTGAGTCATGATTCTTTGCAACCAAACAGAATTGTTTCTATCACTTACAACAACTGTGTTTATTTCATTTTCAACTTCCTCATTAACAACTGCCACTTCATGCTCAGATGCAAGCGATTTTTGCAGTTAGAGGTGGTTGTTTTCCCTTTGAACTGTATATGCGAAGTCTAGACCAATAAATCTATTTAGGAGATGTGTGTGTTTACAGGGAATTTGACGAACTGAATGGTAAAATAGACTGACACGCCCTTTTTTAAAAACAAATGTTTTTCTAAAATTCTGGAATTTTAAAAATGAGACAATTTTTTTTCTGAAATTATGTTGCTATAGCCAATATAAAGATATTGCCTTTTTTGGAAATTGTAGTATTTCTAATTAATACATACAGTTTTTATGTATAGCTTAAATATTGTTATGCAGCTATATTTGTGTAATAGATGTTTTGGCACAATGATATATTTTTGCACTTTCACTCCCACAGTCATGGTTCAAACCTGGGTTGTAGTCTTTTTTTATTTTATTAAAAATTAAACATTATTATATTTATGTGACTGTAGGTAGTGTCTTTATTTATGACAGCTAAATAAAACAGTCTAAAAATTAAAATTTTTGAAAATAATATAAATATCTTTTTTTTTATTATTTCCTTCTTTCTTTCAATATTTATATTTTATTTTTATTTTTGATTATTTAATATACCCAGCTATTTTCAGCCAAAAGATATTTCAATCACATCAGACTTTGAAGAAATTCATAAAATTACTAAGTCTAAGAAAGCTTCTGCTATGTAAGTTGTATTAATCAATAATGCTTTAAATATATATTAATTATAATAATAATAATATATATATATATTTTATATTATAGTTATCTGAAAGAAAATAATATTTTCTATGAGCAAATATCATGTTGCAATGGATGGTCTATGACTTTACAGTGGTATAATACACTATGGGAAAAAGGTGGTCTTTTTTGAATTTGTGACTTCATTTTTGGCCTATAATAATCAAAAAATTACCAAAAATCCAAGTTGAAACAAGAAAATCTTTGTTCTTTGAAATAGTTGATAAAAAGCAAATGAATCGCTTAAATTAAATCTCAGGAGGGACAAATGTCCATTCTAATTAAACATCACTACGCCAAAAAAAATAGGATTTTTAGAGGTGGTTTCACAGGTGGTTCTGGAGGGGAAGCCAGGGCGCGTTTTGTGTCCTCCCCCCTTTTTTCCAACCCTGAGCTCATGTGCATTTTAATACATCTCCGCTTACCAGTAGTTTTAAGATTCTATTAATATATTGATAACCTTTTTTTTTGCTAATATTTGTCTTTCAATTGGACAAAACTTCTTTAAGTATAGTTGAAATATTATATGTCATTGGTTACTACTAATCTATTATTCTTCTAATTTAGATTCTTTTAAATATTTCTTGCTTAATCATTGTTTTTATTGGATAGCACATAATTGCACTGTAGTGTATTTTATAAAAATACATTTTTATTGGTTTCTCAAATGGATATATTTTTTATTTATCATTTTTATTGGTTATTACACTACACAATTACATTCTATATATCACTTTTATTGGCTATTATGATAGACATTACATTTTATACATCATTTTTATTGGTTATAAACAGTCAAATACATCATATACTTCCAATATTAAATATACTACTTTATACTGCGGTGGATAGTTATTTACAATTGCCTCCTTTGATGGTCTTTCCAGAGATGACTGACTCTTGCAATGGATGCCCAATTTTGATGGCATCTGGTGAAATCTATACCAACCCTCTTAAGCATGTTTGCATGTTTATTGCAAATCATTGTTTGATCACATGAAGATATGGACCCCCAACTAGGACGAGGGCCAAGAGCTCGTACAGAAGGAAGGGTGGCTAACTCGTTGCATACAAGTTTTGTACAGGTCCTGAGTGTTGCTTTTTTGGATGCTGTAACCTTGATTCCAAGATGTTGACTCATCATTTGGTAAACATGTTCTAAAGTGACATTATGAATGTTGATCACAGGTTTGAAAATAAACTCACTTGAAGTCTATTGAAGTTAAAGTTAGTTTTCAGCAATACTGTTTTGAGTTGAACTTACATTAATAAACAAAGAGAGATTTTGCTTTGGAAATCCTTTGATCATTATTTCATTTCCAAGGCTGTTAATATCCATCTTAATTTGTTCTTGATTGGCACGTAAGACAGATAACTGGAGCTGAATGGCTAGGAGTAAAGATTCGATAATGTTATCTGTGTCATTCATATTGCGAATATTGTTTACCTAAGAAAAAAGATGTTGTTGTGAAAATAAGATATAAAGAAAAAAATTTTCAATTATCTATTATTAGTTTCATAGCAATATAGATTGAATCTATTGGGTTGGTTTCAGTGAATATCAATTTTGCTTACCGTGCTTACATGACGACATAATATATATATGTTTTACTTTTTTCTTCTGAGCTTATATTCAAGTTACTGCGCCATTATTGTCTTCAAGTTAATTATTATAAAAGAGTTCAGACTTGAAAGCAAATATCTCTATTCTTACCCATACTTCAAAAGAATAAATTCAAATTAACAAAATGTCTACAATCACAAAGCTTTCCTACCACGAGTGCAGTATCTGCCACAAATGCTACACAAACAAGAAACTTGTAGCCAAGTGTGAAGTTCAGTGCCTGGAAAAAGTTTATAAAGAGATGAATAACATTCAAAGTTCGCAAGTTGCTTCTGTTTCTGAGCAGAGTAATCTTATCTTGAATTTCGCATCTAGCTCAACCTTGGAGTAAGTCTACAAATTATAATGATGCAACTAAATAAAATATATTAATTCTTTAATAATTAAACAGAGAAAGCACCAACATGAGCATCGATGAGGATATTACTCCTTCTGTTATCAACGAAATTGATGAGCCCATGGTAAGAAAGATAAATATACAAATACATCCAATGTACTAATTATTGTTTGCCTTATTAAAGTATGATATTGAACATGAGGATTCTATGGAAAATGATTCGGCAATCATGAATGTTACTGAAAATGCCATTGACGATACTCCTCCTCAGTTGGTCTATGACTTTAGTGCTCCTGTTCCTGTTCCTGGTTACGACGATGCAAAGAATCTTGAGCTTATGAAGATCATAAAGGAGTTTTGCATTTCCCAGAAGGCCCACATTAGTCTGGCAAAACACTTCAATGAAATTTTCAGCAGATCAAGTGAGATATCATACAGAGCTTGCACTCCCTACCTTGGTACCAAGCTTCTTTCTCGATTTCTTGGTGTCGATGAGGAGACATATCACGTTTGTCACAATGGGTATATGCTGTACAACAACGATCAGCAAACGGAGTGCCCGCATTGTGACGAAGCCTGTTACAAGACCAGCGAGAGAAGTCAAGACGCTGGTGAGAATCCAATTCCTGCCAGCACAATGATACAGCTTCCTCTGGGTAGACAGCTTGCAGTTGCTTTGGCCAACGACCGCACCAGAAAAGAGATGCTGTATCGCCACCATCATACGCAAAAGGCTGATGGCAGCATTTCTGATGTCTTTGACAGACAGGCATACCAGTCAAAGAAGCATCTTTTCTCAGATGAAAACGACATTGCCATTTCGCTGTCTGTTGATGGGTTTGCTCCCAATAGTGTTCTGGGTTTGGTAACCATTGACCACGTTACCAACCTCAACCTTCCCCCAATGATCCGCTACGAGCACAGCCGTATGATCTAAGTCATGATCATCCCTGGTCCCAAAGCACCTGCTGACTTCTGGTCATTCCTGGAGCCTGTTCTGAAAGAACTTTGGGTTCTCCAAGCCGGTGGAATGGTTGTGAAGATACCATCTGGAGATATTAGTGCAAAAGTTCATGTACTAATGACAACTAGCGACATCCCAGCTCTGGGAAAGATGGCTTGTCATGTGGGCCATATGAGTAAGGATGGCTGCCGCATCTGCCACGTTGTGGGTCAATCTCCTGGCCATGGCCAATATTTCCGAATGCCATCTGCCATCACCATGCGCACACCGGAAAGTTTCAAGCACTTTGATGAGGTGGCCTCATCCAGCAAAAAAGGGTTAACTGGCCAATCTCCCTTCTCCTTACTGGATTCCTTCTCTGGTCCGTTCTTCTTTGCATTGGATGAAATGCACAGCATTTGTCACGGCATTGGCAAACAGGTCTGGGGGCTCGTGTGTGGCAAGTATGGAAAAGATCATCCTCTCTCTCTCTCCCTTGCTGCTCAGAAAGAAATTGGTACTGCCATGGTGTCAACCAGAAGAAGTATTCGGACATCTTTCCACAGTGCATGGATCAACATTGCAACAAGATCAGGGTACTTCCGGGCTGTGGACTGGGCTGACTTCATCTTGTTTGTTATCCCCACGCTTGTGGCAGAGTGTGTCCGTGACCAAGCTGCCCGTAAGGCATTACTTGACCTGGTGCAGACATGCAACCTACTCATGAGCTGGGAGTTATCAGCAGAGGAGAAAACCTTGATCAAAACGTAAGCTTTAATTATAATTAATATTATTATTTTATAACTTGTGTTAACTTATCTTTTTTTTTAGAAATCTCGTCGCATGGAATGCGTATCTGGAAGCCTCGCTAGCTAAAGGAGAGGTCCAGCTCAAGGTCTTTACGATCAACCAGCACCTCCTGCAGCACTATCTCGCAATGATAGAAGCATATGATCCCCCCAGAGCGTATAGTGCACGATCTGTTGAGAGGGCGATTGGGGAATACTCGCGAGCAATAAAGAGTAATTCGGTAATTGGAATCAACGCTGGCAACATCATGCTTGGCTTGACACAGATTCGACAGATGAGAGTTGAAAATTCAATAACGACAACAGCAACAGTAACAGCAACAACTCTCCTTCAGTATGATGATCCCTCTGCTGGTTGGCCAATTGACCGAGAAGGTAGTAATGTTGATACTGATTCTGACATTGAGTTCTGGAGGCCTTTGAGGAACAGAACGATTGTTGATAGTTTTGGAGGCATTTCTTGTCTTCCAGAGCTTCTTCAAAAGTTCTACAAATCAAAGCAAGAAGAGTGTAGTATGATTGAAGCAGCCATTAAAACAAGCCGTAAGGCATTTGTAAATGGTTGTGTTATTGACTCTGCACTCGACCATAATTGTGTAAGAGAGGCACATAACGTCAGACTTCAGGTTCAGGTTGATGAGAACCGCAACATTGGGCAAAGCTACTCTCCAGTCTACAAGGATTTCTTTGGGAAGGTCATCGTTTTCTTTGAGCACAAGCTCAACAACAAGAGGTGGTCGCTTGTCCTTGTCAATGTTTATGCAGTTCGTTTGGTAAATAGTATACCAGCAATCAACAATGGGCAAATGAAGCCAATGGTAGTTCACCTGGCAGATGTCAAAGAATTAGTTGGTTTGATGAAGTCGGATGCGACTATAAACACAATAACAACAACAGCAACAACATATGTAGTGTGGCCAGAGCTTAACCGCGGCCCAAAACTGTCACTTGGTTCTCTTGCAGACTTAAATTTTTTTTTTCTTGTAATACATTATTTTTTTTCAAATTGTCTTAACATATTTTATCCTCCCAGCAAAAAGTTTAGATATTTTTCTCTCTTTTACCTCTGACTTTTAATAGTCATCAATTGCAATCTACATTTACTAAAAATGTAAAATCTGTAGTTAAAATGTACTTTTGTCTATCAGGAGATTTAATTTTAGGTGGTCAATCTGCTTTTTGTCAACCTTTTCAAAAAACAGAGATTTTCTAGTTTCAAATTGGATTTTTGGTGATTTTTTAATTATTATAGACCAAAAACAAAGTCACAAATACAAAAAACCACCCCTATTTGTCATAGTGCATCTTACATTTTCAGTAAATATATATTAGAATTGAGAAATATTGGATATCAGAAATAAAAAAAAAGAAAATATCTAAACTTTCTGCTGCTTGGATAAAATTTGTGAAGACAATTTGAAAAAAAAGTAAAATTTATTACAAAAAGAAAAAAAAACAAATTATATATCACTTAAGGCACCAACACTGCAAAAGACAACCGATTTAAGTAGCTTAATTTTTGTTTAAATCCTCCAAAAATCGGTGGTTTATGTTCAATTATAGTTCGGTATTTGTTACAAAAATTGGTTCATTTAGTTAACCAAATGATGAGATTATAGATACTAAAATCAATAGATAAATTGAGAGTTATAATTCCCCCTTTTCTTGAAATGTTATAATTGTCTGTAATTCTGGTTATATATTCACCCATAACTTCAAACCGTACCTAAACCCTACTTGTTATGGAATTGGCTTTGAACTCTCTACCTCTTAAAAAATTTTATTTGCTTTAATTACATGATATTATTGGATAGACCTCACTAAAATCGACCTAGAATCAGTCTGAAATCTGACAGGAACCAGCATTCAAATGAATGATTGTAAAAAAAAACTTAAATAGATCTTGTTGACATCATCAAGAGATGACGCATTTGAAATAGAATCTCATGGAAAAAATGATTTTTATTGATTTTTGAATGGTTGGAAAATATATTTAACTATTTAATATGGACCACTAATACTTCTTTAAAAGTGTGTATCCAAATAGTACGACTTGTATACATGTTATACTTTCATTTATTGGACGGCTTGAATACATTGGATGACCTAACTTATACTATACTTCCCTACCTTTTCGGTTTCATGTATTCGGCGCGTTTTTTGGTTTTACACTTCTTTAACTGAAAATGAAATCCTTGGTATTTTCTTGGAGAATACGTTTGTTTGGAACTACATTAGCTTAGAGCAAAAAAAGATACAGAAGTATTAATACAGGCTTCTTTATGAAATAAAATGAAATAACATACTTACTAGATCATTTATGGGGGTTCATAACAAATCTCGCGATAGAATAAAAATCCGTTTGATTGATATTTTCTTTTAAATAAAAAGCAAGAAATAAAATAAACAACTTTATTAATATGTACGCTTTGATTGTAAAGACACTTGAATTACTTACATATTATAGACACGCGTTTGCAAAAGGGGGCAAACCAGTATGACTTGAAAAAAAGGCGTGACATATTTATCTGAGAAGAAGAATTGATAAGTTACATTATTTAAGTTGAGTTATATATATATTATCTTTTCATAGACTGAAAATACCAGAAAGTATATAGTGTCAAGAGCAAAACATCTTTTATTACAAAATGGGTAGAAGCCCTATCATTTTAAAAATAAAAGATATTTAGTCAGCAAGGTGTTTCATTTTGGTTAG